ATGCAAGTAACAGAAAATTATATACAATTTCCAAAGAAAACTTTTCTAATGATTACGCTGTGAACTCAGGTGTACCTCAAGGGTCAAATTTAGGTCCGCTGTTATTTTCGTGAATGCTCAATGATCTGTCCAGGGCAATTGTTAATTCAACATGTCAACTGTTCGCTGATGACCTCCACATCTACAAATCAATTAATGATAATATAAATAATGAAAAATTTTCAAGAAAAAATATAATCAAAATCTTCCATTTTTTTATTTTTAAATTACATTTTAGACATCAGGTGAAAGTAGTAGGAAAAGCATTTAAATTGTTAGGTTATATCGAGGGTTTCATTATTAGAAACTTAAGTAGTTTTAAAAATTAAAAAAACTTTATTCAATTTATATGATAAAATAGAAGTCTATTAGAATATGCTGCAGTTATTTGGTCTCCTCTGTATACAGCATATATAAATCTAATTAACAAAATTCGTAACAAAATTCTTCAGCTCTTATTCTATAAAAGGAATTGAATTTATTATTCTGATATTCCATATCAAGTTTTATTAACTGAGTTTAATTTAAGGACTAGACAGGTAATATTATTTTTGGTTTTTCTTTATAAATTAATCCATAACCATGTGGATTCTGCTTACACAACAAACAGTTCGTATTTCATATTCCCACATTAAAGTATAAGAAATACTAACATTTTTTATTCGAACTCACCACAATAATTTAACAAAAAATCTCATTTGTTTGGATTAAGTATTAATCTCAACAAATTATATAATGCGATATATTTTTGATAAACTTTCTGCGTATAAACAAGTAATTCATTTTTTTTATGAATGTCTGGACAAATATGAGTAATATTCTTATTTGTATACGACTGGTTGAAGTCAATTGTTTTTTTTCTGTTTCTTAAATCGTCTAATTAATTAATTACAGATACCATACAGCATTGAATTACACTCTCAATATAAATTAAGACACAAAGACAAGAAAGTTAATATTGAAATCAAAGTGCTGTGTCGAAAGGACAGAAATATTTGAAATATATTTAATGTCACTGATTCTGTATGAAAAAAAATATCGTTCAACTTGGAAAACAGTACTGCACCTAATAAGAACCAGTCTAAATTAAATACTTAAATAATTAATATGTCACCATTACAACACCCAGCGGGCAATACTGCATCAGCCAAGATAATTGCCTGATGTCTGAAACAGGACCTTATTAGAGCAGAATGTTATTGTAACCTCACTTGTCTGGGTGTGGTCTCTGCATCTGAATATGTACTTGCTTGCTACAAATTATGCATTTATCACAAGGAAGAGATGTTTGCCATTTTGAAAATATCGCACATCCCGGATATATATTTCTTAAGCCAGTAAAAAAACAATAAGTCTTAACGTAACAACTTAAGAAAATCATGTCATCCAAAACATGCACAAAATTGCATAATTCTTCTTGTACTTAAGACGAAATACATAAAAGTGTAGGTAATAAAATATACGAGCCGACAATAGACGGGGTCTTAACAAATGTGGATATACATATCTGGTTTAAAATTTATCTGCTGATAACACTTGGCCTGAAGCTGGAGATTAATTTGACGAAATTGTAGTAAATCGAAGACATTGCTTGTAAAAGTGATATACCGACAATAAAAGGCGATTGTAGTAGAAGATTAATGTTGTCATGATGGAAAGATAAAAACAATAATTCTTAAATCGGGATGTCTACCAAATTTGATGTGCATTTCGAATGAATTGGGGTTGAAACAAGACCACTTGAAAGATTTACCGAGGATGAAAATAAAGTTAAGAAGTTAAGTTTGTTTCTATCGAAAGTTATTTCAATTTGTTATTGGTTTGTACAGTTATTAGTTTGAAGAAATACTGACATATGCAACTGCATGACTTTTCATCAATTTCAGTTGAAACAGAATTTCACAAATGAGTTCTCTTTATTACGTTTTATTATCATTACTATACGTTCATTATCTGCAAAACATTAATATGTAATTTGTCGGCATTTTCTGTTACATTAACCAAAATCAATTTGAATGAACAACACTCCGATTTTACCTCCATGTTTGTTGTAAATCGTGTATATTATGTTTCCAATTCTAATAAAGCTTTATCGCTAAATAATCAATGTGATTGTCAAGTATATATATGTATATAGATCTAACTCATAAAAATGGACTACGAAGTTTTTAATTTAATATTGGAATTATAATAGTTCAATCTGTTTATTAAAGATTTGTTAATTATTGCAATGTCACTAAAGTAGTAATATTCTTAGGAAAACTACTTATCTCAATTTGTCATAAGAAATCTCTTAGATAACAGAGGCTTAGATTGATTCATATATAGGCTCATTCAATAGTATTTAATTTGTAACTTGTTTTTTACATTTTCTTTAAGCATTTAATCCCCGAAATATGTGGTGAACAAATCGGGTCAATAGCTTTAATAATAAATATGATAAATCGTTTCTAATTCGTAAAATGTTTGAAACGGTCCCACTAACTGCGATGTGTATGTACTTTCTGAATATGAATATAAACAATAAAACTACAACTCAAATCTGTTTAGAATGAAGGGAAGACCATATTGTAATTTTTGTAAACAACGATATCGTTTCAGCGACAATATTATAATAATAATTTTCGTAATATTAATTTGTATTTGATCTGGCTTATGTTAATAACTGCCTACTTTGTAGGAGATTACCAATTTAAAGCTAACAATATAAAATAGAGGCATGAGACGTATACGTGGAAAGAATTATGAACTTGAAAACTATTTTATAGATGCCGAGACTTGCTCTCTAAACTTAGAAGTAAAATTAGTTTAGCAGCTAAAATGGTGCAGATTATATTTTTTTCTTTTTAAATGAAGTTCGAGTGAACGAAGGATGCGAGTTTGTAAAATCTTGGCCTTTATTTTGTACATTTTTCTCAAGCAATTCTTTTCGTAGTTAGATTAAGCAGATATTTGGTAAAATGTAGGGTTGAACACTGTAATCTGTTACATGAACTAAGTCAGTTTTCTTAGATTGCATTTGGGAATCTAGTAGTAACTCAAAGTTTTGGTACAAATGTGTTCAATATTTTTCGATGCGTATGTTAGTGGAACCTCCTGTCGCAGGAATGAGCCTTTACCCTTTGTAAAATCTTCTGATAGAATGTTGGTCGGTGTTTTAATATCTTTTGTAGTTTGTATTTTGTCAAATCTATTAAGTGGAAGCCTCGATTATTTGACGATTTAAAAGCGATAAAGGAGCTGTACGGACCAAATTACGCATCAAATTATTGTGAAGGACATGCCATGATTTTTTTCTCCTTGACAAATAGCAACTCATCCGCTATCCTAGAGCATTTATTGTATTCATAGATAGATCTAACAAATTTATCAGATATGTCGCAGATAATATAACGTAGAAGATGGTGTATCTTACTAAATCGTGTAGTGACATGTAGCACGTACTTATCAAGTCGATTATTTAAACCTAAAGATAGTCTATGCCACTTTTAACTCAAATGAAGCAATATTGTGAAACAGATTAGAGCTAGAAACAGTAAGGGAGCTGTTCATTTATTTCCTCACCAAGGAAGTTTGAAATAGTGTAGCTCTTTCATCTTTTTTTGTGAGGGTAGTAGTATTTTTTCGATTCATCGAATCATTTTAACGAATTTCCCCTTCAAAGAACTTAAAATAGTAGGCTGGAATAATTTAAGAGTCTTTATCTTTGTTAATTGCCTTTGGCATACTCTGACATGTCAAAGCCAACCACGATTAAACCTGTGTTTCTGTTAAATAAAATGTCTCAAATTAAAGGGTACCTTCCTCTTTAAACGGGTTTATCTCAAAAAATATCTATTTTATAGATATTCAACAAGTATACCTTCTTTATGTAAAATACCATAAATTTTTATAAAATGATGGAAATTTTGGGGTATAGTGGAACAAAAATTTTTTTTCTAGAAATTTTGGTGGGGGGTGCTTTGCCCCCGAGCCACCATAATTATTATCGAGGATTTCATATTATCATCCAAAGCAGCTTCAAAAATTATAGATCCAGCCAAAAAATTTTCAAAATTTATTGAAAAATACAAAAGTTACAGCAAAAAAAACATTTTTAATTCTCAACTTCAGGAGCTAATAACTCTACAGGGTGAGCCCGGAGGAAAAAATTTTATATGAACTTGTGACATTATTTTTTCATTATCTACCCATATCCGAGAGATTGCCCACCCTGTATATATCGTTTAATTTGTCTTTAGAAGGGCTATCTATTTATACTATAAAATATAGAGCGTCCTATTAAAAAAAATGTCGAAAAGTGATAATTTCTATTTACTAATTGACCTGTTCAGCGATTTTTTAATATCTGAACTGAAAAAGAAATATGAATTTTGTTCCATTATTTTGGGACACTGTGTATATTAAATAATAATTTAACGCTGGCGTTTTACAGACAAGAAATCGCACTTTTAGTAAGACAATGATATAATTCCTTTCATTTTTCGCAGTGGATTATAGATAACATTTATTTTAGTTCTACTAAAAAAAAAATAAAAGAAACTTGTTAAAAATCTGTTTTGATCTGGAGATTTATCTCAAAATAGTTGCAATGATAATTAATTGAGATGGAAAATGGTACAGTATTAGTATTTTTTTCGAAAATTGATTAATTTTCTGCCTTACTGTTTATAAGGAAATTACCAAAGAATTGCTTACTTCGTTGTGAAAAGTCGAAGAGAAATAATTACTCAAAACTCAAGGTAGTTTCAAAGCAATAAATTAGTGATCGGTAATCTCCGTAAACCTATTAATTGAGTCACCTGCCATAAAACGTATAGCTATTATTGCTCTGTTTTGAATAGATTCAATTTCATTTCGCGCACGAGCACGACGAGACATACTTGAACAAGTTCAAGTTGCGGTTCAAATTCTGACGAGGAATTCCCAGATAACAGCGCCTTAATATATGAACTTACAAAACATTACCCACTACTACTGTCACATTTTCCTTCGAGGAGTACGCACAACTGAGCTACTCTTCAACTTAGTAATAATTAGTCAAAATTAAGTTAGTGTAACATTATTTATTTACAACTAGATCTTACACCGTTTTTCGTTGATTTCCTTTTTGAAACAGCAAGATGACTGATGCAAAAGCAACTATTTATTACACTTTGGAAGAAATTGCAAAAAACAATGGTAAGGATACTGACCGAGTGTGGATTATCTATAAGGACATTGTCTATGATGTGACCGATTATTTGAATGACGTAAGTACAATTTTTTAACAAAAAATATGTACGCAACAGTAATGTAAAGAACCGACCAAGTTACCTGAAAAATATTAACTATTTATTACTGTTTAGGTAAATATTTTGAATATACGAATATGAAATGTCAGTGATACCGGGTTTGCAAAGGAACAAGAACCTGTTTGTTAACTAATGCTGTAAATATACAACAAATAAATTAATATCAGAATATACGGGTATATATCGTTAGATAATTTTAATAAAATATAAAAAATTCTGATAAAATTTGTTTATGCAGAAATTTATAAACAAAAGTATTACTCAAATTAAGTACGTAATATTTTTTACAAGAATTGATTGAAGAGTTAGCGATGGGTCAGTTTATATAACATAACCCTAAAAATAAAAATTCTGTGCAACAAGCGTCTTTTAGTATTTATTAAAAGATGGACAAGTCCAAGCAATCTACTAACTAACCTCTATATTTACCTGCTTCAAATACCATTAATTTTTATAAATCTATTTTAAAAATATCAACAGAATTATAAAATGTGTAAGACAAACTTATAATTCCTTTTTTTTTGTTAACGTGAATAATAATCAGAACCAACAAAATATTCGAATCTGTTGGGTGCAGTTAGTCAATCATGATAGCGTCTAAATCCGACATATTTTTCTGAAAGGTAAACATAAATCTGTGTTATCATAAAATCAGCAGAATAAAAAATATCCTATAAAAGTAAATATTTTTCTTAACTGATAATAACGAGGATATTATTTATAATTATTTTCTCACTGTATTAAGCAATTTGTTTTTGCATTATTCCATTTATAAAGTAATCTATTTAATGAATGAGAGCTATAGTCAACACGATCAGTTGGTACACAAGGAGTATGCAAAACTCTTGTTGTAAAGTATTCAAAGGATCATATAATTACCTATCTAAAAGACCTTTACTTACAACTTGTTTGAAAGTTGTTTTTGATTATATACTTAATAATATTTATTATTTTTTAAATTGTTGCTCTACCTTACACTTGGCATTTATCTTCAATGCATAACAAGTCTATCTTGATAATTTAACAGTTAATTTTTGGTTGGTACTTTACTTTCACTAAATTTCCTGAATAGTATACAAACATGACTGTTATGTTTGGCAATTTTTCCCATGCTTCTACGAAATGTTTTGATAGATAAAAAATTCGAAAAGTGGTATGTCAACAATACATGTAATGCTGAAATTATGTACAACTTTTTCGGTACTGATATCGTTAACACCAATTATATTTTAATTATTAATTAATTAATCTCTGATAAAATATCAACACTTGCTCTTTCTGACGATAATATTCACAAATGCTGTTATCTTCCAACTATCTAACAAGTTGTTACTAAAACGGGCCTAATCTTCCTCTTATACATGGAATAATATCTTTCACGTAAGTCGAGAATAAGTATGTATTTATTGAGTTACAGTTAATAAATTTTGTACAACAGCTGTAGATAAAAGTGAATATTCCAAGTAGGTTTCATTTTGTGAAAGGTTTTGATAATCCACAGTTCCAGACGTTGGATTATTGGTTTTATATGTGTCGCTTGTATTTTATAATCGTCTGACAGGTTTCTAAAAATAACTGGACAACTTGCAAAATAAAGAAACTAAGACAAAATAAAACATAATCCTCGTCATTTGTATAACCAGCCTTCCCAGGTTGATGGCGAGATGATTTTCCAAAACATTATTCTATATATTTTTTTCATAGAATCATCATCATAGAATTGTTAGCAAGAGTTTCAGATTATCTGGAAAATACCGATTTTTTTTTTAAATATCAACGGCTGTCAAAAGATACTGCTAATAGGTCATTGATATATGAAGTTTCAATTGTCTTACGCACGCAAAAAAAATTCTTGCTTGAAATGTACAACGCACGTTTATATAGGTATACGCAAGAAAATATTTTCTTCTTTCAAGAAAATTATTTATTTATTTAAATACTTTAAATTTCTACCCAGAAATATAATTTCTTACTTTAAAAATTGGCACCATTTAAAATAAATATTCTTGATACTTACGGTTAAACGAATTCTGTTCTTAATTTTATGATCTACATAGATTTTATAGAAACATGTTTTGTATTGTATATTAATGTATCGTTTGATTAATACAAAATTGAATAGTTTTGGTCAAAAAATATTTTGTTTCACTCACAACACCTAGTACAACAGCTAGGATCGTTCGCACGTTTAACCAACCAGACATAGGTTGGTTTGGAACTTGATTGATTGTCCTCATCATTATGTCGTTAGAACGATCCATCTGCTTTAGTGTCGTTATTCACAAGGAGATGTGTATACACATAGCGTAAGTGCTGGCTCCATCTATCGTGCCACGCCATTCTGTGATCTACAATTTCCTTTCAAGAAAATATAAGTTTGATTATAGTATGCTACATTTGTCTTGAATAATTCCTACATTAATACTAAATTTTAAATGTATATGTATATTTTAATGAATTGGTAGTTTTGAAACAAATATGTTTGCAGTTCGAGATAATAAATTTCAAAACTATACAAGATTTGAATTAAATTATATATATTTACAAATAATATAAATTCCAAGAAAGCTTATGATTCTAGTAATTGTACCTATCAGCAAATAATTTGCAAATAGATAACTAAAATCTATAGTCCTCAGATTGGTATTTATATATGACATATTTTATTATATAAATAATATGATAAAATATGATATATATGATGTGTGACATATATGATATATCTTTGCAAACTGGATTTGTTTTTAAATTTACATGGAATTCTGAGGATATCAGGGAATTTTGGGTTCACAGTTTAGTTAGATTAAGGAAAAAGCAAGAAATTTTATAAAGAACGACATTCTCTCATAAATTTTCAGATAAATACCTATTTTTCCTCTTCGTAAAACTGTACATGCAAAGTTTGCGTAGCTCCAAATTAAAGAACGACAAAACTAACCAGTAAGCAGTAGTAATAACAGATCTCGTGGGACGAAGAACTAAAAGCTAGTACTGAAAAAGCATCGCCACAAGAGATTATGTCCAAATTCCATCTAGTTTGTAAACTTTATTTAATTTTCTAATTTCATTGACCCTCGAGTTCCCGAATGCCGAAAATTTATAGAGTCCTTTGCTGCTGAACTAGATTTAAATCTAAAATGCCAGGGGACATTTACATTCACACGAAAAGATGCAGTTAAAACAAGACGTACAAAATTTTAATTGATTCTTATTCAAGGCTCGAACGCTCTCGCCTCGGTTTGGTGCTTCAAGGTGAACTATGTCACAGAGTTCAGCGGTAAAGTCCAGTGGGGAATACCCTCGCAGAGCAAGTATTTTTACAATAATGCATCGGTTCTTAGAAAGCTTCTAATATTCCATTCCTCATAAGTTGTACAACATGGATAAACCGATCTTCTATTATCTGCAGCATAAGCTATCATATGGAAAATAATATCATATGGAGTTATCGGTCACTAAAATCATAATTAATAACATGACTGAGCACAAATACCAACTATTCCACGTATTGGATCTGATATTTTTACCAAAAACTGATTAGGTACATAAATCTATTACTAAAATAGTGAGCCATGTTACAAATATGTTGGGTATTTGAAAACGATTTTTATCTTAGATAACCAGGACTATTTGTAAAAATGTCCACCAAGAGGCTCCAAATTTGTAGGAGTGTAAGCGTTATAAAACTTTTATTAATTTTTGTTATTATTTCTTTTAAATAAAAAATGTATTCTTCTATCATATTTTTATAACGATCTTTTTTAATATGAAGTTAATTTTTTGAAAACCTGCAAATAATAAAAACGATGGTCAGCTTTATAGTACATAAAGACTGAATTGTTTTTTCTTTGAGCAAATAAACTCGAATTAAATCTACCAATAAATACCGTGTCTGGAATATGAAATGGATGATACTGTATATCAAATATGCTATACATTTATTTGCCTTTGGAAATATACAACCGAGACATGAGTTAATAAAAACTATGCAACTGTGTCAATAGTTATAATTTTTTATTATTTGTCAACAACTATCAACGCAGTGAAACGACGGTATTCGTAAACAACTATAATTATTTTCAAGAGTATACGATTATAAAAAAGCAATATTCTGATTCTTTTTTGCAAGATATAGAAGTCATATAGAAAAGCTGTAGGAGTGAAAACACATTGTAAATAATTTTTTGGTTTTTAGCATCCTGGAGGAGGCGAACTTATTACAGAATGGGCGGGCAAGGATTGCACCAAGGCATTTGACGATTTTGGACATTCCGGTGACGCCAAGAGAGACCTAAAAGCACTGAAAATCGGAGAAGTTGTAGAAGTAAGCAACCAGAAGTTTTCTCCATTCCTACTTAAAATTGGAAATTCTTACTTTAAAGATATTAAACTAATTCACATTAATTCTATAAATTCCCCAAAGTGGCAGGTATGCGTGTATTTAATTAGTACTATTTGCACAGAGATTATCTTTTATTTTAGATAACTACGGACTAGCTTATCTATGAAGTTATTTTACCTAGATTGTTGATATCATAGATATGACCTCATTAGATGAGAATTTGGAAATTTTTTAGCATGAATTTGAATTAGCTACGTTCTAAAAGTATCTACAAGAGCTAATCATAAAAAGATATAATTAAAAAAATAGTAAATTAATACTAAAATAATAATAGTGGGTCTAAAACATTGAAACACTTAGTTTTTCATTTCAAACATTTTGTGGTGTCTCATAGAGAAAAGACACTAATCAAAAGTCAGACATTTCTAATTTTCCTTGGCTTATTGGATTTTACGAATTTTAAATCACGCCAGATTTTGTACAATTTTCAACATTAACTCTTTTTGTCTTAGCCTCTAGATTTAACAACATTGTAAAGTAGTTTTAAAATGTAATAATTGGATTAATCTCTTGTCTTCTAGGAGGAACGAAAGAAGAAGCAGAAGAAAACTGAAAAGGAAGCGACTAAAGGACCAAAAGTGGTTGAATCTAAAGAAAAAGTTATAAACAGGTAACTATAGCTCATTATTATTTCGTAATTTTTTTTTGTCGATAAAAAATATTATTTTGGGGATTACTAATATAATTTTGATAAAAAATAATAGATAAATAGCAAATTCACACCTTTTTCACGGGAAATACTAAAAATTTTGAAAATTGTTAGTGTTCTAAAGATTAAATAATTGCCTATTTTTTCCTTATTGAATATGAAGCAATTTTTTTAATACCTCCCACACGTACCTAACGTTGGATTAAATTGCGACTAATTTCACAATTTTTAAATTATCACCAATAAATTGAAACGCAGATTTTCTCAAAACTTCATACAGTATTGTACGTAAGTTTTATACAATTTGTACCTATTCCTATTTGTGCTACATTATACGAATTTTCATTACACAGTAACCTATATTTTTTAATCCCAAGATACTGATTTTTATATACTTGATTCAACTTACAACAAATTTTACGTTATTATTTTTCTTTTCAGGAGCTGCATTCACATCATCACATGTGGTTTATGTGCATAAATGTGTGTAGTTTTCCAAACAAAATATGTGAAACTAAAAAAACTGTGATAAACCTAAAATCTGTACATTCCGTATTAGAATACCTATATTTATATACCAAATTGTAAATAATAAAACAAAAGAAATAAATAATAGATGTTCCGACCTTTCCCTTTTTATTTCTTTCTATTCCCGAACCTTTCTCAACAACCAGAAACAGCAAATAAGTTTATGCGCTCGACATACTATTGTGCATACTACAATTGACTGTTTGTGTTTTGTCCGTGTTCATCAGCTTGCATATTCCAATCGTGTAATCAATGATAAAGCACGTAATACTGTTTACAATTCTCACCGAAAACAGGGGTTCATTCAGAACCTGACTTTACATCGTATAATAGTTTTCATTGCATGCGTATCATTCGCGGCTCAATTTTGTAGCTGTTTTGGATTAATTTAAGATGTTTAGCACCGATTCGACTGCTGAAGTAGCTGAATAAGAAAAAAGAGTAAAAACATACTATTATAAATTCTATAACTTTTTAATGGTACTCGTTCTAACTTTTCTAAATGCGTCTCTGTCTAATCTTAAGATCACTCCATGGCAATTGTTTAACTTGTTTACTTCGTTGGAATATGTAAAGTGACCGTAGCATAGTTCACTTGACGCAATAAATTCGCAAACTAAATTCTGAGATACATGTACTGAAAAGTCGATAAATGGTTTGTTCATTCCACATTAGCTTACAGTCTTTGGCCCTTAGAAGTTAGTCGGTTTATAGATTACAACCTACATAGCTGTAATGTATATTTGACACGATATAGTGCGATATTTAGTTTTTTTTTCTACAAATGGTATTAAATAACGTTTTGATGATGAACAAAATCGTTCCGAAGCACTCATTGATTAATATTACCGATTCCAGCGAGACTGTAAAAGTTAATTAAACGCCCAAGTAAATTCGAATTAGTTGAATACCTGCTGGTATTTTTATTGTGAAAAATCTATTTTTATATTAAAACAAATTCCGGTCGACGCAAGTGCTTACTCGAAGTCGAAAACAAGGGATTAACAACTGCTGATTGGGTATTTACGTTAACGGGCCAGTGCATACACTTTATACTGTAAACGCAACCCGATTCAGTACTGAAAATCGCGCTTCAGATGTTTCGGATTCAATTGTTCAGTTCACTGGATTTAGGAAAGTAGGCGAGATCCGATATGAATCTCATAATCAGAACTACTGTCGGATACAAATGTATTGAGCCATCATTTTGATTGCGTTTATCTCAAAAACAGTACAGCGAAAAATAATTTAAATATTTAAACGTCATTTTTTCTGCTGTCAATTAGTCGCCAAAATTTGAGAGCGTTCCGAAGAGTCTTCGGTGTATGTTATATTGGCCAACTTATTAAATACAGGGTGTTTTCAAAATCTTTGAGATGGAGGTTCTTGAAATGCCTAAATCTTGCTCAACAGCACGAACTGATGATCATGAAAATATTGATTCATCGAATGTTATCGGCTCTAAAATTATATGTGGAGAAATTCGATCATGTTCTAATTGATTTCTTAAAATTCTTCATAAAATGTGTCTACTCATTGGTGGTAGAGTGCATCTCTCATTAGATACATTGCAAGTTGTATTTATTACCTTGTGCCACTCTCCATGAACAAATAATTTTAGAATGTCAGCATTTGAATAAATGTTAACGTTTTCCATTCTTTAACAATAAATGATACTCAAATAAACATTCACTGTATGTGTTAAATTGACAACAATAAACTGGTGACAGGTTATGTACTTGTTTTGAAGTTCCACTAAGAACAGTAAATACATTAAAAACCAGAAGAATTGTTCATCAGGTTGCGTAAAAATATACAGGGTGTTCCATTTAAAAAAAATAAATTAAGATGGTTTAAAGTTGACTAAATTCGGCATTGAATTTCAACCATCCAATATGAAATTAAGATGACAAGGAAGTTTAGCGTTTTAGTTATGTCCCCTATAAATTTTATCGCTCTAACTTTATTATTGTAAAATACACATCTTTTTGAATTAGGCAGTGCTTTTTTAATTTTTTTGAAATAAATATATCAAAAAACGTTAACTTTAAGAATAGGAAATCATTATGAAACTTCCCCTAAAAATTGACGTAGAATCCAAATTGCAATAATATACAGGGTGTTCCAGTTAAAATAACGAAGATGACGTCAATTTCCGATATAACCGGAAGCGTAGGCCATTATTTTAGTTGAGAAGGGTATGCCCGAAAACACTATTGCCCAAATTTTTAAAATTAAAATCGAAGTAGTCTCTGAAATATGTCTAATGTCTCATCACCGTGAAACACTCTGTATATAAAAATAGGTAGCAATAATAAGGAACTGGAGCATTTTTTTTACTAACATCAAACATGTAAATATAAAAGAGGGTTTATGCAAAGAAAATGTTTTGTTGTAGATACATTAACTTGAAAAAGGAAAATTATATCAATGGAAATTCAACGTGTTTTTGCTACAACTCGTTTTCATAAATAAAATAGAAATTAAATCATCCATCATATTCAATCTTATGCTTTAAAGGGCAATATACCCAAGAACATATACTAAAAACGTAGAATGTGAATTAAAATAAGAATTAGGTGCAATATTAATATTTAAAAATTTATTAATTCCTTTTTTTTCTTAACTTTGTCTAAAATTAAATTCACTATACATATGTACCTATTTTCGTCTGTGTAAGGTACACAACATGACTTGGTGGGTGTATTTGAAAACCGGCGTTAATAATAAACAAATTTGTAGAGCAAATGTAGCATATCTATGAAAATTTTATCAATATTGATTATTTTGTTTGTTAAATATGTAATTAATACGAACCTAACATATATTATTCAAAATATATTTACTATTCCTAATAGGCTACAGAAAATTAACAACTGTTTTGAAAAAAAAAAAACATATTCATAAAGTAAAAAGGCAAATTTTAGATATCTATAGTAGTACAGACAATTAGTACCATATGATCAGTTTTGGATATTTTTATTTCATCCTAAGCTACTTCACAGAAAATAAACTTTTTAATTAATAATATAGGAGCAACAATTACTCTACTATATTATATATTAAAAAAATCTATAAGACAACGTGTTAATGTTTTAAAAAAAAAGACCAACTGTGGCCACGACAGAGGTCACTCAAAAATTTGTAGTACTTATGTTAGGTCAATAACCCTGTAACATTTTACATGTTAACATTGTCCTGTTTGCCCTCCTTGCTATTATCCCTGAAAACAAAGTTTGCCAGAACGGCAATCCTGGAATCAAACTAAATGAAAACTTTGAAAAGCTGGAGAGTAAACACGTGTGATAGTCGATTCAATCTGTCGCATGTGCTATTGTTAACCTGAACCTGTATAAACAGTCAAACTCGAATTGCCTCTTATCAATCACTATTTCCCCAAGGCTTGAACGAAAGGCATTGGCGTAGGTATGAAAAACTCTTGAGTTGGAATAGATAAATCAAAAATAAATGTTGCTATCGATTTAAATTATTGAGAAAATATTTGCAACCCTTTCGGAACAATTTTGTGAATAATTTTTTGAATAAAATTTCTAACGATCTTATGCTTTAGATTATTAGATTATATTCTTGTACCACATTTATAAATAAAATAAAATCATCACAAACAAACTACATTATGGTTACATACACAGTACAATAAATATTTTAGCTAATTGCTTCAAATAAAGTTATCAGTCAGAGGGATTTTCTGGGGATTTATAGTTAAAACTGTAGATAAACACAAGCAGACACAATAAACGTTTTAAGTGAATATATAGATAACCTAATTAGTACTCAAAAATGGCATAAACTCACTGTGTCAATAAATAACTATTGAGCTAATCCTATTTTTAAAATTACTTTGCTGCAGTAACTAGAATACGGATAAGTTTTTCTTTAGAGGTAGGTACATATTTACCTAATACCTAATGGGCAATTATACTAAAAGCAGCATTGAAATAATGTCTCAAAATAAATATTTTTTGTCATAAAAATACTTACTTACATTTTATTAGCCAATTCAACTAATGTTAGGTAGGTACTTAAGTCTTTATTTCTATTGATAATAAAAATACTCAGAATTATCTCTAATAGAAAAGAGAAGTTGAACTGCGAACGCCTCTGTACTGAAGGATAAATCACAATAAGGACGGTACCAGTAAAGGCTAATTTGATACATTTGCCCACGTCTTGCAGATCTGACAACGCAATCAGAAATATAGAGATTGATAAGATGTATACTTTTATATCGTCTTATTGTTTTATTATTTCCTTAATTGAAGAACGCTAATAAATAAATGAATATCAATATATCCTTTTTCAGTCCCGCATACAAACAAATTAGAAAATAATACGTCCTCTCAGTGCTGAATTTATTCTCGAAGTATTGTCATGAATTCTTAATATTTCTCATATCTGACTATTACTTATAAAATAACACACATAGGAAGCTGTCTTGTAGGTAGATCACACTTACATATACATATACTTAACTTCAGTCAGTTCAGTTGTTAGATTTTATTATTTTTTATTATTTTCAATTCAGAAATAATTTAATTTTTTCCGTTGGATCATCCATGTAGGTCTGTTACTATAAATTACTATTAAATAAACGCGGTAAGTAATTGCGAATTGTTTCGAATTAAATAGATTGCGCCTCACTGTTGGAAACTGTTTCTAAAATATACAAGGACAAAGGTTTTATAATGCGGGTAATTTTCTTTTATTTTCAAATTTAGCGCCTAGATGAAGGTTGGCTTTGCACACTTCGTCCATCTCTTATCTATGCCAACAGTTTTAGGGAAAGTTAGGTCGTCCGCGGCTAGAGGGCAGCGAAGTCAAGACCGCCAGTTCTACGAATAGGAGCTTCAAAATATATAATTTGCTACTTAAACTATTATAATAGGGTAATATAAGTCTCTAGTGTAATAAATAACAATGTTAAAAATGTTATTTTTGAGATTTGAGAGCGTTGTACGCAATGCCTTCTGGATCATGCCGGCCTATACTGTAAACGTCAGCTCTTACATCGATTTATCTGATAGCGTAGCCGTATCTTATAAAATCAATATAACTTTGAAGAGTGAAAGAAATGAAGAAATAATTAAAAGCTGAACTTTGAACAGACTGAAATTTTATTTATTATTACGTATTATAAAAATCCATAATTTTCATCACTTTATTTACATTAAACTATCTCCAACCTCTCCAACCTCCAACTATGTTTCTTCAGAGTAATTCAGAAGTAGTTAAATCAGAGACACAGAATACGAATATAATTCTGTGTCAGAGAGTAATATGATCCGAAAGATAGTCAATTGGAAAGCAGCTCATTTAGTGATGGGCATAATCGACCAATTTTGATAATCGAGTAGGTACTTCTAATAATCGAGTGATCACTCGAGATACGAGATATTGGTCGTTATCATCCCAGCGGCGCACAAACATGTTTGTATTAGTCATATATTACTTATAAGCGTAGCTAAAAAAAAAAAGCTCACGCACTTCAAAACCTAACCACTTTTTCGTTTTATTCTAAAAAAAAGGTTACGCAATCAGTGACTATTTGCAGTATGCACTAACATTTTGGGGTACAACCTTAGGGTAATAATCACTCGAGTGGTGGGAGTAAACATCTCGAGATATCTCGAGTGATCTCAATAATCGAGTACCACTCGATTTTTCACTCGAAATCTCCCATCACTAAGCTCATTATGATTTGACAATTTGACCATTGTTCAGTAATCTGTGCATTTGACATCAATAAATCAAATATGTATCAACTATCAACATCAATATTTATTACTTTTTACATTTGCGTAGACGTAGACCCCTAGACCTAGACCACGGAGACTATTCTCCTTGACCTAGACCTTTATATTTGTACTATCTGTGCAAATTTGTCACGTAAAATAATCACAGATAATGATTGCAATTAGTGATGGGACTACTCGAATGAAAATTATCGATTATATCGATTATGAAAATCTCTCGAGATATCTCGAGTGGTCATATAGAATCATTCGATTATTCGGATACGAATGACAGTGACCACAGCGTTACTAATACCTGCACTACTCGAGCGAGTGCGCAGATGTTTCGATTGTTCCAACGCTCTAACGAGCTACAACATCTCGAGATAAGACGGCCGAGAGGATAGATGAGACAATCGAATATCACCGCACCGACATACAAGAAAAAAGGAATGCAGGAATTTTATGAGTGGCATCGCGGGGGGTTAGATGGGAGCTTTATTTAGCGGGGATAAAAATTCATATGAATGAAAATAATACCAAATTATGTTTTCTATATAATTTTTTTTTTTTCAAAAAAATCCCAAACAATGGACCTCTTTAGGCGGCGACTACTCATTTTAAACACATGCTGCTGAATCACTCAACTGGCAACGAAGAAATATGGAAGAAATGCCCCAATTCGCGACAGTCATTCATTTACCTAACGTCAACATGTTTCGCATATGATTTGGGATAAACCGGAAATTTTCAAAGTGAACTTTCGATTATTCATTCGAATGATCATTCGATTATAAAATTAATTCGAACAGTAACCTCTCGATTATTTAATTCATTCGATTATTCCCATCTCTAATTGCAATATAAAATATTGTGAACCAATGAAATCAGAATTAACACAAATCTGATAACGAATTAGAATGTGTAGAGCAAATTTAATTTTCTCTATGATGGTGTGATAGTACAAAGTCTCATACAACTTTAATATAAGAATTTTGAACGTTTGAATCCATTTATTTTCGCATATAAATTTCATGTAAATTAAATACCAGCAATATTAACATCATTTTATATGTATGCTAAAATATTTGTATCAAGGGTTTTATTGCAGACTGTGTTTAGATTAAGAAATAAGAGCATGATGTGCAATTCAAAAAGAATAAGTGAATTTAATGTACCTGTCCCTTGGGGGTATATAGCAGGTAATACTACATTACTTAGTTTTCAAATGTTTCTATAAATATTTTAATTTTATAGTTAAAGCTTGGGGTGACGAAAATGATGAAGCTATTTTAGTCAGTCATGGAAGACTGGACAATGCTGGAGCATTCGATAGATTAATACCATATCTTCCAAACTCATTCTACTACATATGTATTGATTTACCTGGTCATGGAAAGTCTTCACACTTTTCACCGCACTTACCTATATACACTACAAATTATGTATTGGTTTACAAGTTGCTGGCACAATATTTTAAAAGACAAAGCTACATCATCATGGGACATAGTTATGGAGGACAAATTGGTTTTTTATTTGCTCAACTGTACCCGAATCTTGTAAAAAAATTAATACTGTTAGACACTGTTCATATGTATCCCGTGAGTGTTAAAGATTTTAAGTATTATCTTATCGATAGTTTTAATAGCACTATTAAGCTGACGGAAAAGCTAAAAACTGGAAATCCACCTTCGTACACTTATGAAGAAGCTTTGAACAAATTACTACACGGCAGACAGGGAACACCTCTTACTACCGAAGCAGCAACCGCTTTGCTTCGGAGAGCTGTAGAACCGACAGGAGATGGTAAATACACATTCACCTTTGACCAAAGAATGAAAAATTTTATTAATCCTACACACGACTTTCGCTATATCCTAGAAGCTCTAAGAGAAGACCCAGTTACTTGTCCTATATTGATCGTTTTAGGTGAACATTCCTTCACGAAAATCGATATGGAACTTATCCTTCAAGAATTAAGCAAGTTGAGTAATGTTTCTGTTGAATACGTTGATGGTTACCATGATATTCATAACAATAATCCCGATCGTGTTGCACCAATTGTTAATAAATTTTTAATAACACAAAAAGGGAAATTATAATGCATTAAGATGCTAGCATTTCAATATTATTTTACACAGGGTGTGCCACTTAAAAATTTCCAGTTGTGTCTTTGTTAGAAACTAACCCCTCTTGCACATGAGCGTTGTTTTACCGATTGGCAGACGACCGTCACACTTGCAAGCAATGATTTTGTGTGAAAAGATGTATTTAACTGTGTAATTTAAAATTTAGTAGCTTGTTTTGCCGATCAACAAAATACCGTCCGTGTGTAAGAGCCGTAAGAGAATATAGACAATTAAATTATAGACAATTTTTTAATATTCGTCTGATTTGTTTTACTTTTATTTTTTACTTTGCTGCAAAGTCAGTAACTATCCGTAGGGTGTTTAATTCCTCTCTACAAATATAGTCGGTCTTACAGCGGCGGGGTTCAAACCTATGACAGTAGCATTCATCAATTCAAGTATTGACGCCTCGAACCCCTCGACCACCGTCTGACCCAGATAATTTCTATTTCCTCCTGCTTGTTCCAAAACGGTCAAAACTGTTAAAATATTTTGTCATTTTTTATAGTTTTCAGTATTTAGAAAAATATTGTTAGTTGCCCAGAGTAAAGTTATTGTGTGTAACAAAAAAAAAATTTACTCAAATTTATTGCCTCCAATTTCTGCACAAATTTCAGCTCTTCTAATAAATTTTCTATGGACATTTCGTATTTCGTATAGAGGAATATTAGCAATTGTTTCTCTTATTCTGTTTTTAAAGTGTCCACATTATTACCAAGCAGTTCAACATTTTGTTTTAGATTGCTCCACAAATAAAAGTCCATTATTGTCAGATCAGGACTTCTAGGAGGCCATGGAACAGGACATAATCGTCCTATCCATCGATCTTTAAAGTGTTGGTCCAACCATTCTCTAACCATAATTGTAGAATGAGATGAGATAGCACGCACAATCAGGTGGCCGCCTTGTTTAAAAAAAAAATCAACAGAAATTAGTGAAACCTCAAATTTTTAATCCCCTGTGGATCCTAAAAAATGACATCCCCGATAATATTTTTCGATATTGTCAAAAATAACTGTACTGTTGGCGACTAACAATATTTTTCTAAATACTGAACACCCTGTATAAAAAATGACAAATATTTTAACAGTTTTGGCCGTTTTGGAACAAGAGCGACTTTTTGTCAGAAACCCACAAATAAAAAAACTTTTCCCTCCTCCAGACATTACAGCGGGACACGCTGTATATTTATTTAAATAAATTCATTCTGTGTGATGGCATATTTTACTTAATAAAGATTAAGACCTCAATTATTTGCTTGACTAAAGAAAATTCCAAGACAAATTCATAAAAAATGAGCTATTTTTTCTTACCTCAACATTGCTCCACTCGTGTATTTTTCTTTTGCAAGTACTAATTTTGTCTTAACTGTTGTTTTGATCTGTTTATTTTTATATGTTTAAGAGAATAATCTCAAAATTCACTCTTCAAATACTTTTTAAGGATACAAATAGCCTTGCAGTAGTTTTAAAAGATTTATTAGATAAACCTTAAAGTAAAAAAAAAAACAATTATTGTAAACTAAGTTTCAAATACGATCCATCAATCACCATAATAATTTTGAGTGTATCACCCTTCGTAACCTGCTTTGGGTGGTGAAGAAAAAAACAACTTTTTTTAAAGTGACTGCTGTTGAGAGTTGAAAACATGACCTCCTCGAAAAGGTTAATTTCGTACCAAAAATACAAAGCATTTATCAGTCCGTCCCTTTTTACCACAACATCACAGGAGCTTTCGCCGTCTTTGTCTACGGCGAAAGTGACAGGATTGGAATATTCCGTGTACTGCAAGTTTTCTAAATTCGGATGCTCGTTACCCTAAAAAAATAAAAAGGATTTATTGCAATACATTTTAAACAATTAAATTCTAAAATTTAACTAAATTAGCATGCTTACTGAATATTGATTCATATATTTCTCGATTCGAAAATTCAGTACATTTTCGTCTTTAACAAGATTGCACTGATCAATATAAGAAGAATATATTAACTGTACGCTGATTCCAATCCTTTTAGGTACGAGAGTTATTTCATTATTATGTTTGTCCAGTGGTGAGATATTCTCCAACGATCCGTCAATATTGATCGGGTCAAAAAAATATATACACTGTTTTCTCGATATATTTTGGTTCAGTATTACAGAAAATTTCTCATCTCTAATCGAGAATTTGTCCAAAGGGATGTTGTTCAATTCTAATATGTGTCTTAGGAATTCGATATCTTGACCGGTTTTAACCATATGGTAGACACTGCAACCATTCTTCGCCATCAGAAACCCAAATAATGGAAATATATTCGAATCTGCCACCTATAAATAAAAAATATCTCTACCTTTTCAAAAGTAAGTATAACGGAGACAGGATTTTTCAACCAATATCGGTTCTCAATTTTTGATGAAGTTAATAAGGATTAAAGTAAAAATTTACTTAAAATACTTACCTCGAAGTTTGGAGCATTAAATTTTAGTGTCATGTTGACTATAGAATCCACCAAATGGCTGTCATTCATGAAACTTATTATTTCCTTTGAAACCTCAAAACACTTCGGATGGTTGGTGCCTCCATTGACGACAGAAAAATTTAATTTGCAATCCACAACTGTTGCCTTCAGAGTAAGTACCTCACCTTCATTTACTAGAATAGGGTGGTCTAAGTAAAACACAGCTTGTTCCCAACAATTTACTTTATCTTCGTTGAAAGGATTGGTAGTCAATGAGATTTCTTCAGTCAGATTTAAATCAAACCAAACCGCTAATGCGTGTATAATCCCCGCTTTACATTTCAACTGTACGATTTGGTGATACTCATTCCTTAACATGGTACATATCTCTTCGAGGTTATAAAAATTTATATTGAATATTTCTTCAGTGTTGGTCATGTAGTCGACATTTTTTTCTAGAAGATCTTCTGCTTCATAGGGATCCGGATTGCGCTGTTTTATGCAAATATTTTGTAAGTTCAGGATGTTTGAGATGCCTGAAGGGATATACCAATATTTACTTGCTAATTCATCACAGTGAATTCCTAAACAAATAATATAGATAAAAATATAAATAATTTTCAGTTATATAAATGTTACCTGTAACATACAATTTTGCCCCACATGGTATAATTTTAAAGTCTTCCTCGGTACATATCACGGCTAAAGCATGGAAAATACTTTCTAAAGCTCTTTCACCAAAGAATGCCACGTCAAAAATCTCAGTGACTATTAAGTTGCATTTACTCTGTATGTTCCTTTGGATGCCTAAAAAATTACTCTGTTATATATCAACAAAATTTACATTAATAATACTTTTGTATTTATTATTTTTGTTTAAAATCTAGCACAACAATTATTCTTACCTGGAAGATTAGTTGACAAACAGTTTAAAACATTGATATTAGTGAAATTGTTTTCTTTAAATATTTCCAAACATAATTTGTAAAGTGTCTTATTTTCTTCGATAGCAGTTATACTACTTATAGTATTGCAAGAAGCCATTAAACTTAAGAGTCCACAGCCAGCTCCAATATCCACAATGTCGCTGTATCCTTTAACGATAGTTTGAGATATTGCTTTATTATAAGCCATATTTCGTTTATTATCGTTCAACATTCGAAAATGCCAACGAGGTATTTGATGCCATTTTACATGCATTAAATTTTTCTCAGCTGGCAAGTAACTCTTGTTTACTTTTACAGCCAGTTCTAGGTACCTGCGGGCAATGTCTACCTCACCCACCCTAAAAGTTATTAAATTATACTGATGTTTTAAGTTTAACAATTGTAACATACTTGAACATGTACGCTCCCAAGTTATTCAAGATAATGTAGTTGTTAGGGAATAAGTTTATCGCTTGCAAGTAACATTTTAACAATTCCTCTATGTTATCGGTTTCCTCAAGAACAACACCAATTTTGCATACGAGTTTTGTAAATGCTGTTTGAACAGCAGTACTAGAAAGAGTCGGATCATTTAGACTTTCGAAATAATTGACGAAATACTCATAAGCTTCTGTATAATTATTTTCCGAGCAAGCCTGTTTTGCTTTTTTTAAATATATTAATCCATTTAACTTTTTTTGTTTTGAACATAATTTTGGGACTCTAGAAGCCATTTAGGTAGAAACTATGTACAATTATTTTTCAAAATAGTAATTTTACATCTTTTATGAAGGAAAAAGTATTTAAATTGTTATAATAATCCCTCTCATCACTCACTCCTTTGACATTTAAAAATCTAGGTTAGTTCTTCTTCTTCTTTTTTTTTTGGCCTTTACCCGGAGGATATTTAGCCAGCTAATCTTGTTAGCTATATAAGGTCAGTAGCATCGACCACGAATTAATTTTTTGTTTGTTACAAATGTGTTGATAGTTCCAGAAGGATAAAAAAATAGTTATTTTCCTTTTAGCAGTGATTAAGGATGTATGTACTTAAGTTAGAAAGAGGATAAACTAAGTTAACTAAGATTGCTAGCTAATTACAGGTCTATGCAAACAAGTCAAATCGAATACACCTCAATTTAGGGATATTTTTGTTTTCAGTTTTTTCCATTACCGAACAACCAACGAACCAACAGCTACTTTCATCTGCACTATTTGTAACAATAAAAAAATAGGGTTAATTTTAAAATCGTTAGTTTGAATAATTTTTAAATTTAAATCTATTATTTAAATTATTATACGATGTCAGATGTTACTGTAGACGAAATCATAGATGCGTGTCCTTGCATTACAAATAAAATTATAGAATATTTAGAAAATTTTCTTTATTCAATACAGAAATTCGAACATATGATTGATGGCGTTTTGAACTTTAAGGGTAAGCGGAGTACTTAATTAATTTTTTGTATATTTACATAAGCAAAAATTTTAGTGTAAAAATTGATATATTTTAGATTTAATTAGCGATGCCAATAAAATTCAAGAGTGGCTGGAAAATTATAATAAAGAAGTCACCGACAAATTTACTGTAGATGTAGTTTGTTTGGAAAGGATTAGTGAAGAAATAGTAACTATAATTTAATAGTTAATAGTTAAATTTTATAATTCTTTGAATTTCAGGAGGAACTAAAAGTGTTACAAAATTCTTTACATGAAAATATTGCTGAAAATGAAAAGAAAGTGGACATTTTAAAGGGAAAATTATCAGCATTTAACAAGAAGAACGAAAGCCTGGCAGATATGCGGTATTTATCTGCAAGTGTTTTATTAGTAGCAACATAATTATTTTTAATTTTTAGGGATGAAATTCAGATGTACAAGTTATTAACTAATACTAAGTTTATTTATAAAGGGTCTAATGTCAGTGGATGTATCCTTTTTTATTATTAGAATTCATTTAAAAAATGTTTAATTTGAGTGCGGCAGAAATATGGAATTAAATACAAAAGTAACAAATTGAAATCGTCGTAATTATGAACACCCGTTTTCCTTAACGTTTATTATAGATATTGCTGGTAAAAAGATCGAGTCTTTTGATATGGACCCAGAAACTCTATCAAAGAGTGATATAATAAATAGTTTATATAATAAAGTGAAAAATGTTTCTCTTAATTAATTTCTGTATCATCATCATACTTTATTATTTGATTATTGAACCATCTTTGTGCCAATTTCGTATGTTTGTAAATAAAACAAGAATTATAAATGTGATAATTTTATTTATAAAGAAATTTATACGAATGCAGTAAACTTAAAAGTGTTGCAAAACCAAATGCAATGAAAAATAAAACTGCTAATAGAACTGCCAGTGTAATTACTTGAAAGAGAAACATATAAAGAACGTATATAACACCTACAAATGAATTTGATGCAATATTTCATTTAATCTCATAAAAATACTATACCTTTTGTAGCTAGGAAATTACTCAAGTTTAATAAAATAATAAACGGGGTTAAGGCCACTGATGTAACTAACGGTAATACCAGTACACTAGAGAGAATTACTAAAGTTAATGCTGTACCCGGCTTTCTTGCTATCCACTCTCTTAAATATACTTGTAGTTTTTGAAAGCATGGCTGCAAAATAGCTGAAAATTTTCAAGGACAAACATTTATGAGCAAGTAGTCAATAAAATGTCGGTATTTTACCTGGAATTAATTTATTTTTCATTCTGACTATGGAGATTTATTTGTTTTTAGTAAAACTAGCATAAAAAATACTGGTAAACATTTATCAATATCACTTTGGAGTATGACACCGCTTATCACGAAGTATAAAAATATTTAAAACTGCGAGTTTTAGAGGTGTAGAACACAAAGTGAATTAACAGTACAAAGGTCGTTTAATGTTTTTGTAGCACTAATCAACACCGCAATTATTCAATACACTTTGTGATAAATGTGCGATTTATTTCATTCTGGTAGGTAATAAATTAAGAAAAGTAATCTTTACATTATACAAGGTTTGGTCAAAAAGTAACGGGAAATGTTAGTTTATAATTAAATGTTAATTATAGTCCCCTTGTGCCGCTTTGGGTATCGTCTTGAATGAAAACTCAGTGCACTTTTTTTAAAAATATATTAACAAAAATTATATAATCCAACGCGAAATTAAAAACTATTGCATATTGTCAACAATACTACACATAATTCTGTCTAAAATATAACACGGATCTGCTTGGCTCTCGTCAGAATCAGATTTTTCTTGATTCATTAAAAGATCTGTTTCAATCATAAGTTTAGAGTCTATTTCCATCGGTTCTGGAAGATTTTGGATGGCCTGTTGAAGGATATCCATCACTTTATCCAGATGCTTTTGAAATCTATAATTAATTGGACAGAGTAAATCTCATCGTAAGAAATAATTGCATTCACTGTAACAATTACATAAATGCTATATGTCCAGAAGAAACTTGGAAATGAAAATTTGGTTAATTAATTTCTTCTTACCTATTTGCCGTCTCTATTCGCTGCCTTTTCTGAAGTTCCATCATAACCCTTAACGTTTCACGGGCCTGATGGGGTCTAAATTCGTTTAACAAATGGTGTATGTGTATAAATAACAAACTAAGATCTTCAACTTTTTCCGCACGTCTTGGAGATTCTGGACAGTTAACTAGTAGATCGAGAAGGTCCAAGAAGTTTGCTAGTAAAGACTGATTTAATTTCTTCAACTCTCTTCTTCTATCAAAATGGACAGGGTACAATCGTTTAATGCCCTGAAAATTTGTTACACCAATTTTTAGATTAATGATATTAAAAATTCTTAAACTTCCAGCTTGGCCAAATCTATATTGTCCACGAGTTTCTATTAAAGTCTCCCATCTTTGTCGTTCCTACTTGATCTGCCCATCTCACAGACAAGATGAGTTTGGCCAAACCGTATGCGCTGATTTATGTGTACGATTAATTTTAAGTTTTTTCTATTTAAATTTAAAACAGATTAATAAAATAGTCTCGTGAAGAGACTTAAACTGTCTAATTAATACTTAATTAAAAAGTTTAAAAAAATTTGATTTGGATGTCGAAATAAAAATATCTATTTTCACTGAAACAAGATAAATTTACCTGACTTTCTAAAGGTCTAATTATGCTTTCCTCAGGATTAAAAGCATTACCAAACATGTGATATGTGTCTTGAATAGGTGGTGGTGGTTTAGGAGCCCTACCTCGTCTTATTATTTCGTCTGTGTATTGGTTCACATACTGCATAGGTGGTAGAGGTAGCGAACTAACTTGAATTGCATCTGCCATGTTTTTGTATTACTTTTACTAATAATGTATATATTCTTATTTTATATTATATAGACAACTAACAGAAATAAACAAATGTGAATGAAATTGACAACTGACCACACATAACGTAACCTCAAATGACAGTTAAGTTAAAGAAAAATACACAGACTATTTTTAGGGTTAGGGAGAGAACAAAATCTCTAGATTCTAGACTGTGAGTGAGAGCGACATCTATCATACTTTTAGTATAATCATTCACATCACAAAACAAACTAAAATAAGGAATCCACTCAAGGGTCCAATAATAATGGAAATTTAAGATTTCGATTATTAAGAATTAAAACAGGCTAGTAATTATCTACAAATACGAGCCTAGAATTTGGTAATGTGTATAAATAATTTTTTTATTTTGCTCCAAACATGTCTTTATTTGTTTAATAAATGTATCTTTAGCGAGTTAACTTTATAGGCCTACAAATTACCAAAAAAATGGGTTACAGACAGGTAAAATATAGGCGAAATTTGTTACTCGGTCGAGAATATTGTGATTATAGATTGTGTGTTGCATAAGCAGTAAGGTTTATCATTTATATGTTTATATTTTGTAAAAATTTAGATTTACGGGCATTATGAATGAGATAATCCGATAACAGCTATTGTCTATAGAAAATTTGAACAACTCTAAAACTATATAAAAATATACCTAACGATTTCCGTTAGTTTTTAAGTAAGATTTTTTAAAAATATTTATTATTTATCCACTTTATATTATTATTATTATATAAATATGTGAACAATGTTTTCAATAAAATTGTGTGATATATTAAAAATGAAGATATGTCTGCCTTAATATATATTTTTTTGAAAAATTTTTGTTCTTAGTCTTAGTCTTAGATTTTTTGTTCACATTCTGTGAAGCACCCTCCATTGATGTGTTTTCAAAGAATTACCGATATTTTCTATATGAGCGCTTACCTAAAATGATTTATCTAATTGTAGCTACAAGTGTTTTGGAATGTAAATAAATACTTAGTACTTCACGTGCCATTATTTTAAAAACGTCATGCATTTTTTATACCACAAAGGAATCTCATTAAAATTATTCAGTGCGAAGAAAATGTTTTTTCCGACATAGACAAATAGTGTTCTACGACAACAAACAAATTTTGTAGATATTTTAAATTTTATTTTACAGTGTGAGTCCATGCAACTTTATTTTGGCGTTTATTATTTTGAATGTACTTGGTAGGTACATCAAATTTATTTTCCCAGACCTCACGAATATACCTATACCAAGTAACATTTTCTGTTACAAGTTATATAAAGTCAAAATTAATTTTATAAAACATGTATTTGTCGAAATAATATAGAATGATTTATATTGATTCTAGATGATGCTAGCAATGGCATAAAAAAATTGAACTCTAGAACATGTGTATTGTAAATTAATATTGTATTAGTTATCATTAGATCAGCAGAAAGAAGATAATGGAACATCAGGATATGTGTGTTATTCTACTGTTACATTGTCATTATGTAAGGTTGATTTAGTTTATGCTACAGAAACATAAGTAATTTTTTGAGCAATATACTTTATTGTTGATATACATATCTTACAATTAGTGTATCACTAAATTTCGAAATACAATGAAATAGGTACCTATCTCAAAACTTCTTTTTCAAATATCCTGCTATCTAAGTTGAATTTTAGTTTTCAATAATTATTTATAACTTCAACGGTGTAGTTCCTAGTTTTGAAATTACATCGGTATTACAATATTTCTGTTATATAATATAGTGAGGGTTACTTACTCCTAGCTGTTCTAAAAAAATCTCATGTTTGTTATTATAATAAGCATATTTTTCGGACTTTAGTAAGTTAACTACCTAAACAATTAAACCGCAGGGTTCATTTTTTCTAACATTCTATGCAAATTTTTGTATTCCAGCTATTTAGTTATCGCCACTAATATGTTAGATAGTAGGTATATTTATTTCAAATGAAATTCCTTGTTACAAACAGCGAAGTTTTCCATACATAAATAGTTGAAATGTTCTCGAAAACTTAAAAAAGTATAAGTAGGGGCTAATTTAAAAAATCTACATGCTTTTGAAACTAGTATTACCATTAAGCACTGTGAAAGCATGAAGTGTCTACAAATACTTTTACTTTTTTGTACATTATTTGTTTTGGCTGCCGCCGAAAAAACGGGTAAATACGAGATAATAATAATACCTAATATCAATTTTTTGCTTCCAATCTTTCTCGTCCATTGGCGTATAGAAATTTGATTTGATTGAATTATAATAATACTTCAGTTCTACGCATACCTATGGATTGATATTTATGATAGTGTTGATAAAGAACTCTGTCAACTATAAAATTTTAGCAAAATCAAGTCATTTTAAATTACAAATAAAAGAACAGTTTAAAAATTGGCACTTCAATGCTATCTAGCGCTCGAATGCGAAATATTTGTACTAAGATCCAATTATTTTGATCCAAACAACAATTTTATTAAGAAGTACCTAACTACTTTTGTGTGCGACAATAGAAAACATGTTGTAGGCCTTGTTACGTACCGAGGCTTATTTGGCCCATGCACTTTATATAATTTGTACTTTGTAAACTAATTATTTTTTGTATGTTTGTAGATGACCACAAAGCAAGCCATCATTCTCAAGAGAAATCGCACCAAAATAAGCATAGGCATGAGAAGTCCCACATTTCAGATCGGCATAAGAAAACCGAAACCAGAATTCACTCCAGTTCTCATTTCAAGCATTTAGCCTACCGCGATGGAAATCAGCAATGCCACGTTGTCTGCAATGGATCACCATGTAAGAGTCTACATTATTTATTTCAATTAAAATCAAATGTAAGCATTAGATATTATTTAGATATAAAAATATCTTTATTCTGGTGGCGGATTAGCCCTTAAATGTACAAAATAATAGTACTTTCTTTCTTCAGTTTCATTTTGAATTTATTATACCGCCAGCGAACTGCTCCGCTACCACTAATCGCAATATTTTCAACATGTAGTTATTACTCAGTTATTTGGCTAGCATTAAAGGATTTTCATCTTATCATACGATAAGACAAGTATTAGAGGTAGGCACTCCAGTTATTCGAACAGCTACGCATCTGTTAAATAGAAATTATTGTTGCAGCTCTCGATCTACGAGCGCATACTAAATTAAATGCATTTATTTATTTATTTACCTATTTATTTGTAGGTTTTTAAACAGTATATTCTGTGGCAATTAGCAAAGAGAATCCCTTGATTTTTCATCTCACCTTCCAATATTTTAAAAGTTTTAGTCTTCAAAAACCGTCTACAACAAAAATACAAATCTAATATTTTTCGTTGATTTCTACAGGCACTACAAAAATACATCTATACTTACTGGCGGTTTCGCTGTTTTTAATTTCACCATTTTCCGTTTAATTTTCAAAATCACAAAATTTGCGTTGGTGTCTGGAGATTACAGAGTATAACTAAAGTACTTGGTCAAATTTTAATGGTGTTTTCTACGTCCCAAGTCAACAAAACCAGTTCATATAAACATGTATCCGGAAACTGTAAAATAGGATAAAGCTATTTCATTCAAATTTGATTAGTTTCCAACAAATAGAAACTTGTTGCATGTCGCTTCATTATATGAAGAAAAAAACTGAAATGCGTATTGATGCCCTGTAACGGTTAAACAAGGCAAACTTTGGAAGAATTAAGTTTAATTAAATCGTTTTATTTTAGCTTCTACTTTGTGGTCCATGTACATGAAGCATTGAGACACCTTATATATTCATACAGCATTTGTGCAGAATACAATCATTAAAATTGTCATTTAACCATCTAAATTTGTTTTTATGACTAATAATACGTTTTCATTTATTTTCAGCTAATGGTTCGGACCTTCAAGTGTTATACAATGCAGACGCAGGGTTAATTGCTTATTTAAATCAAACAGCCCACGTAGCACTATTGGAAGATTATTTCAACAACATAACATTAATTTCAAACGGACAGTCTGGAAATGCAATAGTTGAAAACATTGCTAAAGACAAATACTATTCCATTGAAAAAAATGCCCAAACGGAAGAGGCTTTGTGGCTCTCATCAAAAACAGACTTCAACGCGTTCTTCAAAAATCTAACTTCCCTTCAAAAGTTCCTGAAACTCGGGGAGGAACATGGGAAAAGCATAAATAAAGGCGAAGACCTTATAAAAGCGGAAACACCTGATTTAAAGTTGTTGTCCTTTAAAACTGTTGAGGGCAATGTTACCTCTTTTGTAGATTTCAGGGTCGAACTGAATAGGACTCTAAGATTCATCTTCAAAGGTCAAGGTAGCTTCACTGTCCATAAAAACATAGTTTGGTTCACAAACGTGAATCTAGCATTCGCAGACTTATTCCGCGATTGTCAAGGCCAGTTGCAATCAGGGGACTTTAAATTAAATCTGACCAGAATCTATGACGTTAACAGTGGCGTGGAAGCTTTAGTCAATCTGCTCTCGCAACTTGGCACCCGAGTAAACCTGGCAAACCTACTTAGAAACCAACTGAGCTCGCCTGAGAAGCTGTTGGAGATACTGGCGAAATTAAGTGGAGGATCCAACGAAGGAATTGATGGAATAGTTACTGTGGTGACAACTGTTATCAGGGCTACAAACGGTCACGCTTCTATTAACGATGTCATCTCTGCTATACTCAATTACGAGACGGACGGAGATAGCACGAGTCTAACAAAGGTTGTTGATGAGGCCTTGGAACTTATAGAGTCTCAGAATAGGGCCTACAATAACTCCGAAGCTTTCCAAGGGATTGTAACTGTTCTAAAAGCTATAAACAACCACAACCTTGTTTTCAGAAACATTAACATTTCTGATATTCTAACGTTGCTCATATCTAGGAATCCCGTCACGATAATACAGACGGTTGTCAGAATCTTCATCAGATTCGGGAGTAGTGAAGGATTCCAGCAGGTTATTCGCGATTTTATACAAGGGCTTAACGGCACAGATGGTTTAAATATTATTTCAAGAATATTTCCTGGCGCGAACTTGGATAGTATACGTCACTCTATATCCTCGGCTTTGTCCTCTATTCCTGTAATTGGTCACTTGTTCAGAAATGTATCCAGCGTTGGAGAAGCATTTAATACGTCTAGCAGCTTTATAAGTGGAATCCCTGTTATTGGGCGACCTCTTGCGAATGCCGCATCAGGAATAGCATCTGGAATCGAAAATATTTTTGGGCCGCAACATCAACGTCCAGCATTTGGTCCACCTTTTCGTCCACCATATCGTCCAGGTGAGAACGTCTTAAAATAATTATTTGTACAGGGCAAATTTTCATTTTTTTCGTCAAATTCAAGAATGTTTTGTTATACAGGTTTAAACCCTAAAATTACTTTTAAGATTAACATTATCTTGTTCTATGAAATCCTATGATGCGAAACCTATGATGCAAAACAGTAAAAAAATATCTATCAGAAAAGCCTAAAAAATCATGAAATCAAACAAATTGTAAGAGAAAAAGATATGGTAAAATGCAGAAAGAATACGAATAATGAATAGACAGTTAGTGAATAAAACTAAAACTTCAAATGTTTAGATTTTCTGTGCTAGACCATAAGAAGTTCTTAAATCTGTACAAAGAAGACGGTCTTTTATTTGACATGCCCTTGTATTACATCCTGTATAGTAAAATTTTTATAAACCTTGTACTTTTTAAAATGATTGTGTAAATGTTCTCTATTTTAAATTATCTTTCATTCTAGACATACTCAATGATCAAGTAAACGCAACGGCTGCTAGTGTAACAGAAAGTTCGAATCATTCCTCTGGAAATGGTGTAACAGAAAAACCTAACGCTAGCAGTACTAATGCCAGTACTTCCGCGAATAGAACTGAAACCGAAACAAATTCCCCCACCAAAAGTGGTACAGAAGGTCCAAACACAGGTAATATTTTTTTTAGACAGCCCTATATTTTACTGCAATAACCTATTCAATTCCTTAGGAAATAGTGGCACAAAGCCGCCGTCTTCCCCGGAAGGTACAACTGCAGATACCTCGACGTCTAAGAAAGGATCGGAAGCCCCAAACCCTTCTAGTGGAAGTGCTGCAACTGAAAGTCCAAAGTCTGGTAACGAATTTATAGAATTTTGAATTATCACCTACAATATTTTATTTAGTTTACTTAGATGATTCGAATACATGTTCTAGGATCTACAGATGCTCCTGCATCAGGCGCAAGTAGTAGTCCTGCCTATTCTGCAGGTAATGACAGCATAACATAATTGATACAGTTTTAAATGCAATCTCTTTTCAAATTAAATTTAAATACATTTTGTTTCCTTTAGGATCGACGACTGCTGCACCAAGTTCTACCCCTTCAGGTAATACCATTATAGCATAATTGGTAGTGGCTTTAGCTGAAGTTTCTTTTATAGTTTCATTTTAATTAGATTTTAATCTTCAACAGGATCTACATTTGATATTAATTTCGGCCAAAGTTTTCAATTCAAGCAATTCGTTATGCCTGCTCTTTACGTTAATGAATATTAGAAGTGTAAATAAGTTTTTAATTTGCAGGAACCTCTAAAGCACCAGGTTCCAGAAAAGGCAAAAATCATGAATTACATGAGAAGGGTATGTATTTGCTTAAATATACTACTCTAGTTCCCAAATAGTAGGCAACAGAGAGATATATAGATAAATTAAATCGCTGTTTTGTTTTTTGTTAAAAACGGAATTTGATTGGTCATTAATAACAAAATCGAACTGTAATCACAGAAGACGAAAATGGCTAGAAATGGAACAAATTTTTGTTGCGTAAATTGAAGTCGTAAAAGTATGGCAATGGAAAAGAGCGAATTTATAATATGCCGAAGAATATTAAGCAAAAATAATAATAGAGTATCATACATATACATATAGCGAAAATTTATTGCCTTGACTAAACATAAACAAATGAAGAACAAATAGTCTTTAAGACTTCGCAAAATTTAAATAACACACTCTAGTTTCTAGTGAGTGCATCTAATTTTTCAGTGGTGCTTGTTCTTTTGAGAAATTTTACTGATTTTGTGCAACTTTTTCCAGTTGCAGTTCAATACATACTTTACATAGAGAATAAATTTGTAAGCATAATTTAATTCTTATCAAAATAAGCATGTCTATTCGTTGTTCTTTTACATTTTTTGGAACCTTCTAAAATGATACGTCCATGGACTCCCATTTTCCGCACGCCTTGCCCGCTGTAAGTATTTTGATTTGTTAGATTTGTTTTTATTTCCAGATCACCACCATCATCATCATACATCAAATAAAAAAGAAAATGTGCACACCAGACAGAAGCATGAGAAGGGTGAGCAGATTTTTTAAAAACAACTTCACAGAATTCAATTAATTTTTTTTATTCTTAGAACATCACGAGAATTTGAAATATTCGAATCGGAAAGAAAATTTACATCAGAAGCACAGACTTGAGGAAAAAGGTAAGAATTTTGATGAAATGAACTTCAATAATCATACTATTTTACGTGTAAAATTGAACTAAAAACACCTTAACATGGTTTTTCAATTCTCTTTTCCAATTTTAAGTAAAAATAGATATACCTACAAATATTTTTTAGAGCATCACCACGGACATTTACAAGGCCCAAACAAATATGAAAATGTTCAACAAAGATACAAACAACACGAAAAACGTAAGTACTAGATTTTAATTATCAATAACAAATTTTAATTCCGCTCTATAAGAAATATTAACCTTTTGAAGTTAATGGTAAATTTTCTTTGTTTTTTTCAGACGCTCAAGAAAAGATTCATGGTAAGGCTGTTCACGAGAAGAAACATGACGACCACCATAACCACCATTAGAAGATGTACATGCTCTACCATGGTTCTATTGGATATACCTACAGTTTCATTATCTACGATTATACCAAAACTATCTAATACATTTTTTTTAATCTGATAGTATTGTACTTGTTCTGATGACTAGTGCAAATAAGTAAAGATTTATAGCTACAAGACATATGTGTGTATAGCAACTGAAAAAGTGATTAATTTTTCTTATCCTTTCTACTAAAAATTTACAATGAATTGAAAGTTATAGGAAACGAAATTAATAATTAATATATATCATGCTTTCATTAATTTTATAAATATATTTTTTTAGGGAATGATGTCATTCAGAAAATTTTGCCAGCTCAATTGCAAATACTTATAAAATGTTTGTTTACCGTTCAAACCATTATCATTTTTATCGTAAAAATAAATATAGGAGAGACTAAATATTTGGATATATTGAACTGAATTTCAACATTGCACATATTTAGAATTTATCTATAACCTCCCTCCATGGGCTAACCACTGTTAGCATATACAGAGTGAACAATAATTATTACTCAATAGCAGCATAAACCTCATTTAAATATCCCCAATACGAATCCGTTTAGTATTTAGTTCTTTTATAAACAAATATTTGCAAAATTACACATTGTAGAAACGGGTGACTTGTTATTTTCATAAAATTTATTTAATACATTGCTTATTGAAAATATGAAGGTATATCAAGTATTAAGTAAATGTTATCGATACCGATAAGGAGTCTAAAATATATTTATTTTTCACAACAACCAATAAAACGCTTATCGGCACCTGTACTACAAATATTTCAAAATATAATTTACCTTAATTCTTGTACTTATTTAATTGATACGTCCTACACAAGGAAATATGATCTGTAATCGTCCTTGATTGAATCAAAATACTTGCTGTATAAAACTGTACAAATAGGGAATTTAGATAGGTGTAACACGTGACTGTGTACATTTTTTATTTAAATTTTAGTCAAGTGGCCATCATCCTAAGGGGAAAATTGAAAATTACGCCGCAAAATCGTATTTTTTACGAGATACGCAAACAGTTTTTAGAAAAAGTACATTTTATTTAAAAAATCCAAATGAAGTCTAACAGTGTTCTTTGACATTAACAAACTAGGTATGCAAAAATATACAGGGTGTTTCAGAAAGACCTCCTGTAAATACAGGGGGTGATAGTACGACAACAAATAAGAATTTTTTGTCTTATGAACTATATCCTATTTATCTCCTTTCGAGATACAAAGTGACAAAATAAAATTTTTTAAATAGAATTTTTATGAAAACGATGCGAAATATTTTTATGAAATTCGGTGTTCTGGGGTTTTTAAGGATGCCAAATACGCTGGTCTAATTGTTTTTTGTATATTTCATAGAGGGCGCTAGTTATGCTATTACATTCCCTATTACATTTTAAGTTCTAATTTTTTTAAGGAATTTACCATTCGGGCTCCAATTTCTAATGTACAATTTTATTTTCTAAAAATAATGTACTCTTGTTAGAACTTCCTAATGTGGACGGTTTTCGAGAAAAAAGGCTTTTAATTGAACTCTTACGGTGTGTAAAATAAGTGACTTTTCTCAAAGTAGGCTTATGTCAAAACTTATTGATGGATGTCTCATGAACAACGCATACATCCTTAGTGATATTTTAAACTCTAATTAACATTGTATTAAAATTTTAGTGATTGTTAATGGCTTTAGTTAGTAATGACTAGCATTGAATTAAACTTTTGGGGAATATTTCCCGGATTTTTAATTTTTTTTTTGTTTAATAAGATGAGTAATGTGTCGTAAATATGGTGACTTATTTGTTTTATTTACAAGTATATTATTAAGGAGATACCTACATCCTAATAAATACTTTCTGATCACATTTATTACTTCAAAAATTAATTATAGTTACACACAAGTTAATATAAATTTCCCTTTCGAAATAGTTCGAAAATTTAGCTGACCAACTTGTAATAAATAACTATATAGTTTGGTTGGACATTACTTGCCTGGTTTTTATCAATTTGTACCTAATCTAAAACTTCCTTGGTAATTAAATACCGAACGCGGTATTTTTCCGGATTACATAGCTCGAAAGTTAAAAATGTTCATAATGTGTTAAAACCTTGTTTTAGTTAATGTGATGGGATACAAAAAAACATTGTAAAGTTTTTACCTACTCCCGAAATCAGGATTTTAATATGTATTTCCCTTTTTATTAACAGCTACAGCTACCTTAAAAAAAAACTAGAAAGAAGAAAAAATAATAACTATAAAGCATGAAATGATTGTTAGGATGCGAGGAACAATATCCGGTAACTTTTTGGCTTTTCATCGAAGTTGAATAATAAAAAAAGCCTTATAAACAAATAAAATCAGCATTTTCGTTGAAATATCACAACTTTCTAAGCTGCCATTAATTGTTAAATAAATAAATTAATAAATGGAACTTACCTATCTTGTAAAAAAAATTCAAGCTTTAAAATAAGATGTCGTGCGTCTCAATCCGTCCAGTAGAACCAGATATATGGTAAAATTGGTGCGCTCGGATACGGAAAATGTAAGATATTGCACTAAATTTACAATAACGTTGGTTAAAGTTAATATTTTTTTAATTTTCAAAAAAATATATGTCTGTTATGAAACTATTAACGCATAAAAAATTGTACTTGAAATAAAAATAAACTTTTTACAGCCATTTATACATTTAATTTGTTAATAACAATTAAACTGACCACTTTCTGGCTTTGCGACCAAGTTTTTTATATTCAGAAGGTCAAAATACTTAAGAATAAGGTGTTTGCAGACGTGGCACTCTGATTGGCCACGGAACCCTATCCCAGGCATGTATATGTAACTATTGTTGAAAATGTTACCCCGTTCATAGTAAAACACTCTTCATCAGACGACATGACAAGCGAAATAAGTCTATTTATTATCTGTGCATGTTGAAGTAACCAATGACAAAATTCTAATCGCTGAGGAGCATCTACAGTATGTAACGCTTGTACATTTTGGCGATGAAACGGATATAACATTTCTCTGTTCAGTACACTCCATTCAGTGATAAATGAAGATTACTTGCTGTACATCGAACACTAATTGAAGAGCTGTCAATGACATCATCTATTATATCTTCTTCATTTTGTACATTCACTTCAGTAGGACGAATGGCCTTTTTGCAACGGGGTTACCTTCTTTTCGAAGTCTACGAAATGATGCACTAAAGTTTGAGGACAGGGTGATGTCAATTTGAGTATCTTCGTCGGTATTCTCGGGCTGCTTGTCTGGCTTTTCCATTGGAATATCCAAAGACAATATCTGCAGACTCTTCATTTGTAAATGAATAAACAAAATGGCACAAATAATAATTGTTGTAATTTTTATTTATCAGGTTACTTTGATTGAAATATGAAATTATATTTTTTAAATTGTAACTTCTAAACAAAACCGAATCGGACCTATGTTCATATAAGAAAAAAAGTTTGAAATTAACCAAGCTACTATCTGTCAAAATTGAGTTGTCATACAGCTTGTAGAACACCCTGTCTGTTACATTTAGTGAAGTTTTCATCTTCATTATTATGTTATTTTAGATATTAGTATTAGATATGTACAGATTAGTGCTGGCAAAAACCGGAAAAAAGTGAAACCGATTAACCGGGTTCCGTAAAAACCGATTTCAGATAAAACCGGTTAGTCGAATAGTTGCTAAAACCGGTTATTCGAATAACCCGTTACTTGAATCACCAAAACTGGATATCTGAAAATCGGTGCTTTACAAAAACAAACTCAGAGAAGTTGTCAAAAAAAAAGGTCTTTACAAAAATCTGGAAGTCAAATTTGTTTACGAAGAAATCGATCTCCAAAAAAAAGGTCAATTGCAATCGGACAAATCGATGTCTAAAAAAAAAGGAAGTAGATCATCGAATAATCGGATATTTGAAGATTCGAATAACCGAATAACCGGTTTTCGGATATTTGAAGAATCGAATAACCGAATAATCGGTTTTCGGATTTCATAAAAATCCGAATTATCCGAAACCGGTTAACCGACTATCCAAAAAACCGATTTCAGTTGCCAGCACTAGTACAGATACTTGACCTACAATTAATTCTGACTGAAGAACGCGTTGTAGAATTTTGACAGTCAAATATTTGGACATTCTGTATATGTTAGGATGTGAGCGGGTGTTTCATGCTATTACGCCTCATTTTTGATATGTAACAAACAATTAAGATATTTTTGCAGCTCGATGTAATAATTGCTGAGGATTAATAATCTTTTATCAATTATCTATGCAGAGCAAAAATTAGTAGACGTGTATATATATATATAGAGGTGAGATACGAATTTTTGTAATAAGTTCTATTCACCTATACATCATGCTTTCCTGGAACGAACACCAATGTTTAATTTCTTTAAGTTTATTTGCTCAGCGAGATAAAAGGTGGAATAAAATTTTTATCTAAATCTAAATTAGAAAACACTTGTCAGTACGAAGTCTGTTGACAAATAATTAAGTCAGACGTCAATCTAGTATTGGTCGTTTTTTTTGTGCAAAAAGCTTCTATTTGGTGATTGCGCAAAGGTGCCAACGTGGAATAAAAATTGATTCCAGCAATCAATCGCTTATCGATATATCAATAGAGGATCGGTTCACGTATAAATACCAAGTGATCTACTTCTTTATCATTTTTCGAGGTACTTTTGGTGACATTTCAGTGATCCGTTGGCAGGTATTTTATTATATTTATTTTAAGTAGGATTTTCGGTGCTTTGCATCGTTTTTGCCAATTATTGGATCGTGTGCCGGATCTGATTTTAATGTTATTAAGTGCTTAAGGATGAAATTTACTGGAAGGGAGAGTCAATTTGAGTAAGAACTCAACTTAGAGGATACATTTTTAAATATTCGGAAGTGCTTTTGATTTTTTAATAATTACATAAATCTGGAATCATATTTTTTCTTCCAGTATGTTTCATGCTTTACGTTGTGAGAGAATTGTATGGAAACTTAGTCAAAATTAAGGCATTACTTTTTTTCATAGTTGTTAACAGAATTTTTCGAATAATGTTAAATTTAAACGTTTAATATATTTGAATTGATTAAATTTAACATCTTTTTTTTCAATATCGTGACTAATTTCAATTTGTTCTATAGTTTAAATGTGAGAAAACGAATAGATGTTGACTTCATATAATTTTAGGAATGATACCTACCTATACATTAACACTTAAAAATTTGTACCTGTTACAAAATATTTTACATAGTTTATATTTTCGTACAATCTTCAATGATGTGGATATTTCCTTTCCAAATCTTTTAATTTTGCTTTATTGCATTTTTCATGATTTTTTTAACAAAATTGTTCATTGAGCAACGTAGATGAAAATTAGTACCTACATATCATTAACTTAAATCATTTTCAGAAAAGATAATTAACAAAAATGCAACAATTATTTCAATATTTTTGAATTTTATGATGTAATACTGACAATGAGTTATAGTCAAGCATCGTACGATCAAAATTTAAAACAGAGATAAGAGTAACTGACAAGACAAATAGTCAAGTTCGAATACGTAAACTGTTACTAAGAGGTGTTGCAAAAGTTGAAATTGCCGGTCTACAGTGTATTATTTCCAAACTAAAGTTCAAAATATATTTTTTGTGGACATGTTTATGGAAAATACGTTTAGTTGGTAATTAAAAACATCAATTTAATATAGGAATATCAGATTTAATAGAATTGAACATATTTTTTTATCAACAATAAGTATCTAATGTTAATGGGTATCGCTACAGTAATTGAAATGAAAAATAGACGCCATCAGTATTAATTTTGACCATAACTCTTTATCATTGGATTCTAAATATGTATGTAATAATTACAATGGGTTTTGATCTTCTGAGAGGATTGTTAAAAATTTTTACTAGTACCTAGACAAATATTGGAAATACAAAATTACTGCTTATTTTTACAGGGTGTTCTAAATTTCACAAGCCCTCATCTGACAATAGAATTTAAAGTAAAAAAATGCTTATAAATATGAATCGCGAGATACAGGATGTCTCTGAAATTCCAGGAAACTTTGTTTATTTTCAAAACGCAAAAGAAAATTTGCACAAATGTTTCACTTTATATCTTAAGGAATTTTAATTATGTAAAATTTTTCCTTAAAAAAAATTTCGGAAATTTTAGTTTCAATATACTGTATCTGGGAAACCTAGTCCAGATCTTCATATATTTGTCCATAAACACAAAAACATGTATAAAAAAAGTTTTTGTAAAAGCATAAACAAATGTATCTGTGTTCTTTACACAAAATACATTTGATTTTTCTACGGACAAAAGTTTTTGTTTCTTTTCTGCATTGAAAAACAATGTTTGTAGATATGATTCTCGACCAATACGAAAGGAAACTTCTGTTCCTTTTTGAAGAGTTCAATCGCCAGGTTTGGCTTATGCATTTCGGGTCACCCTGTACAATTATTTGCATAAATTCAATTTTCCTTTAAAGTGGCTTCTTCCTTGTATAGGTGGCACTTGTTCCTATACTTCAAGACATGTCTTATTCAAACAAAGTGATATCTAACGAGGTTAATAGAATTCTACTAATCTCTCACATTTTTTACTTACGCTATATTTATGTAGCCATATTACTATTGTGAAATACATTACTATTTGTTAAAACGAGATTTCAACAGGTACTATAAAACACCAGATAAGATAAATCTATATCTTTCCTTTGAAATTTATGAGAAAGGAACTGTATCTACCTGTTGCCAAGCCCTAATCTGTACGAAAAATTTGTTTAATTTTCGGTTGTGCGAAGAATTTTATTTATTTACGTTAGGGATATTGTATATATCACTTTACAAATATAAAGGTATCGGTAAGACAATCCAAATGCAACATAATTTATGTTCGTCTAATTTTGTTGTGCCACATTGTTGAAACAAACCTAATTCCTTTTAAATTATTTAAAGAAAAGTTTTCAAAAACATTATTAAATCACCTTAACATATAAAAAAGCTTGTTATTTTTTGTCTAAATCATTTAGTGAACCGATTTTCTAATAATGATTTTGTCTAATTTTTTGGAATTGATCTAGGTAATTCTTGGTTTCCTATGATAAGAATACCAAAATTCTTGAAGTTATTTGGATTGTAAGTGTAAGACCATGTACTTTAATTAGTATTTTTTATGTTTCAGGTTTATTTAGCCGTAAATATTAGGAAGAAGGGCACAGAAATGTTATAATACAAGTAGAATTTACTGCAAGCAATTTGGGGGCTTACATATTAATGTAAGATGATTTTTATCTATGGACCATGGACCTATAGAACTTTTGATAATTAGTTAGTTGGGAAGAAAATAGCGTACATTGTTACAAATTTAGCATTTTCAAAACTCTCCTACAACCAAATTTCAATTGAGTCATTTTCCTTCCTCTTTTGATTAAACTTCTTCATATGTATTCCAGATTTCATGAAGAAACAAGAGTAACTGGTGATGTACATTGCAGGCAGTCTTTAGGTGGAAGGTGTAGGTCTTAGCATATTATTGAATTGCCAGATCTAACTCTTCCATGCGAAGAATGTCTAGGGCGACATCTCGTTTCAGTCCGGTGAATCATCCAAGTGTATTGCTAAATCATCCCCATTTATACCTTCAAGTGAGTTCTGTAGAGTAAGTGGAGAAGTGGTCTCTTCACTTTGATTTGAACAGTGAGATTCAACTCCTCCAACTTAGTTTTTGAACTCTCAGCTACAAGAAATTTTTATAAACGACAAAAAACAACAATTATGGTAGGTTAGGTATAAAGACTAAATTAAATCTTTCGTGCTTAGAAGTTGTAGAGAAAGACAGGGTAAAATAGCCAACTGCCATTTTGCGTCAAAATTCTTATTGCTAAGCTTGAAATATTTTGAATTTGCATTATATATATTATTAATTTTCATAAATTTACGTAATAAACAAGAATTTACTACGCAATAACCATGTATTATTTTGATCTAAAATACTACAAATATATTTTAATATGTAGTTTTTTTTTTTATACAAATAACACAAATTGACATTATGTCAAACCGCCATTTTGGGGCAAACGAGAACAATTGGTTGTGGTACTTGATCAATCTAGGGACTTTAGAAATCGTGTTTCAATTGTGTCATCTATGTAGTAAAAGAAAGTACAACTAAAACCTCTTACCATTGTCCTTCTCAAATTTGATTATAGAGGCTATAATTTGGTAATAGAGAGACGAAAAGGAGGAACTTAAATTAGAAGTTTTCTTTAATAAAATATTGACTAGTACGTCAAAACTTTGACACAACCAACCAAATATATTTTTTAATTAAATAAACATGTTTATAGGAAGTTATTAACAAATTTATTAACGTAGTTCGCATTAATTTTCATTCATCAAAAGAGTACAGATTTATTTATGTAAAAACTTCGTTATTTCCTTCATTTTAGTTTCTGAAAGATTATGAGTGCATATACAGGGTCGGAAAGTCCCCATGGTTCACCCATAAGATCCACTTCTTATTTGTGGAAGGGCGAAATGGGCGATGACTATTAGACGCCTTCATTATAGCCATCTTTCTCTATCGCACGGATTTCTATGACTTTCTTTATTGCTCTCACGTAACGGCCGATGAACCATGGGGACTTTCCGACCCTGTATATGTTATTATTGTTTCTAAAAAACATATCAAGGTAATTAGATTAGCTTTATGTTATTTATTATTTAATGACATCAATTGTACTGTGTCCCTTGACTTCATAACACAATACAGCGATAAACTATATGTCAGCATGATTTACAAATTTGCGTAAAATGAGCAAATATGTTAGAAATGGAGAATATTATTTAAATATATTTTTGACAACCTCCACTTTGTCCTGCTATAAAGGCTATAGTAGAAAATGATATGAACTTAATTTTTTTTAGCATATTTGGACTTCAGATAAATAGTAAACATCTTAAAAATATTTTAAACACAATTTGGCATTTAAATGCCAAGAATAAAATGCTTAAACATTATCTGTGTGCCCTATATTTCTTGTGTTTTGTATTTTAGTACCTATTCTAATAATAAATATTTTAATTATTTTATGTTTGTATTATTAAACAACAAAGTGACTTATATGTCTTAAAAGGTAGAAAGAATCTCACATATTTGGTAAAAAAAATATTTTTCAATATTTTTGATTGTTTAACGTTGGAGATTTATCTGTTTTATTCAAAATTCATAACAAGTTTTTACACGAGACACATTAAAGAATAATATTTATATATCCAAGAAGTACATTTCCCATCACACACCTTTCTCAGCTAACCTGATTTTGATAGAGAAAAAGACGGTCTTTGTGAGTATTCCTCTACTTTCAAATTTTGAAGGATCATATTCTTATCGAAATATCGAAACTTTGAGAATTATATTTTTTTTCAAAATAAAATTTACTTTGTTCTTAGAAATGGTAATGATAACACGTTCTATTTAGTGCTACTGTGATTTCTATTAATTAAAATAACGTATAACTTTAAACAATGTCAGAATAATTAATTTACTGGAACTGATAAATAAGTATTACTATTTCACTTTGTATGGTGCCATTGTTCTGAGACTATAAACTACATTAATTTTCAATTGGTCTCGTTAGTGCTCAATCTCTTACAAAAAAAATAGTCTTAGCTGATCTTTCCAATAGTCTATTCTATGGTCGAGTATACCTTTCCTTTACTTTTCTGTTCTGTTGTTGCGATATCTATTTAAAAAATGGCGGCAGACGTTGATACAGATTTAACTTGGAAAATGTTATTTCCAGTTATCGTTAATTTAATAATGTCTTTTATAACATACATTGTTACAGTGAGGTTAATACCAAAATTGAAAGATATGTTTATAAAAGCGAATCTTTTTGGCATTGATATGAGTAAAACAACTAGTGAAAAAGTGTAAGGTTATGTGTATTATCAAAATCTTGAAATAAATAATTTAATTTGTAGGCCTGAATCTCTAGGCGTAGTAACAGGATGCACTTTCTTAATTACAATGTTTTTATTTATTCCCGTGCCATTCGGAAACAGTCTTTTTAACGGCGCTTTTCCACATGATGAGGTAAGTTAAACGTAACTTGAAAACTCCAAAAATATATATGATTTATGTTTTAGTTTGTGGAATTAATTGCTGCCCTACTTTCAATTTGTTGTATGTTACTATTGGGATTTGCCGACGACGTATTAGATCTGCGTTGGAGGCACAAACTGCTTCTCCCAACGATAGCGTCTCTGCCATTATTAATGGTGTATTATGTCAATTTCAACTCTACAACAATCATAGTTCCGAAGCCACTGAGGGAACTTCTAGGCTTTTCCGTTGATGTTGGGATTTTTTATTATATATACATGGGAATGTTAGCAGTTTTTTGTACCAACGCAATAAATATTTTGGCGGGAGTGAATGGATTGGAAGTTGGACAAAGTATAGTTATTGCACTGTCGATTATCACCTTCAACGTCATAGAATTATCAGGATTATTGTGGAAGGCTCATCAGTTTAGTTTGTACTTTATGTTACCCTATACGGCAACAGCCCTAGCCCTTTTGAAGCATAACTGGTAAGTGGTTTTGACGCATTAGTAGAAGTTGGTTATTTTAATTTATATAGTTTAGTTGAACTGCAGAACACGACAGTGTTATTATGTAATTAAGATAACTTGGACATACAAAATCAGTTTGTTACAAGTATAAAAGTTATCAAAAGGTCACTCAAAGGATTTGAGAATCATTTAGATGCAGGTATACGAAATATATTTGGAATACATTTGAAATTCAAAGTAGGTATATCATCTTCAAACATAGAATAGAATTTTGGATAAAAGTGGACAAAATTTAAGGTAGAACTTCATTCACCGATTTCATTAGTAACGCACTACTTACGACTGTCGTAAGTTTCAATTTGGTGTTTTAAGTGACAGAAAATATATACTTCTTCCAAAAATAATTAAATATTTGCCGTATTGTTTCAAAGTGACAAAATCGAGTTTTATTGAGTTACATAAGTTAAACTCGGTTTAAAGCTAATTGTCAAATAAAAACACATTACTTAAATAATCTCATTTATTTAATACTTTGTCAACACAATATAAATCAAACTATTTTGTATAAAAAACTAACATCTTATAAATAGTGAATTATAAAGTAACATGGAGTTTACAGTTTATTACAATTTTACAACCTTGCATACTTTGCAAATGAAACTATTATCCTTCGTAATAATCTAATTTTGAATAAAAATTAGTAAGTAAGAAATCATATCTCCAATTATGTTCATTTACAAAACGTGGTGCAAAATAACTATCCCGATATTTACGTGCTTTTATAAGTTGTGTCTTTCCGTCTATATATACACCGTTCTCAATTAAGTCTTCTATATAACTATTATCTATCTTCTGCTTATCTATTCTATCCCAGTTTATCACATTTTTTGGCTTGCTGGCCAGAAACTCAACAACTTGTGCAGGATCGTTGCAGTACTCACAAAACCATCCCCCGTAATGGTTCAAGTCACCTAGTATTATACCTTTGTATACTTGGCTTGACAATGTTTTGTTGTCGGTCAGTAGGCTCAACTTATTATTAAACATTTCTTTTAAAAAAGAGACGGTACACGCCCCACCACTTATAATCGTCCGACTTGGATGCATCCAAAAGAATCCAAACACCGACCAGCGAAAGCGGAACTTTATGGGTTGAGGCCATTGATCGTAAAATTTGAGGAAAGTCAGGGCGTCTCGATTTGGTATTTCGTTTAAATTACTTGATAGGATTATGTCGTCGTTTCTCAAGTTTTTCAATCGTGTCTTTACTTTCTTCCATAAATGTTCCCTTTTGTCTTGGATGTATAAAATTTTGTCCTGGTATTCTTTGTAGAATTTATTATTCAACTTGCTTTGCAAATAGTTTGATCCTCGGTCTTCGTAAAGTATAAATAAGTCAACGATATCACCTAAAGAATAAGAGACGTAAAAAATTTTATGCAATCTAAATTCTAAGTCAAGAACATTACCTAATTCATTTATCCTTATATCGGCTACGTATTCTGAATACCTGTCGACTTCAAAGAAATAGATCAGTCGTCTTTCAAAGGTTCTTGGCCCTTTAATCTTAATAGGTTTTCTGCTAGCTATCATGGCTCTCCATAATACTTCTGGTTGCCCACAATCGTTACCGTGCCACCCTGGTAAGCATTTGCATTTCCAATTGATTTCTTTGGAAATTTTCATTGATATTAAGTCTGTACCAGACTTGAAACACAAACTTGAATTAAAGTCAATATAACTGTGTTTAGTGCTTACTGATTTTAATATTATATTGGTGTTTAACGTATGATATGTTGCAGTTGCATCTTTCACATCGTCATTGCTCTTCAAAAATGATATTTTAATATCCGATTTAGGTTCAGTAGGTGCGACTTGTAAGAAAAAATACGATAGTATTAGAAGTATCTGGGTTAAGAGTAGTATCCAGATGGATATTCTCTTCAAGTTTAAACGAAAAGTATACATTTATTTGTTATTACACTACATAACCTAAGTTATTAATTCGCGTTTACAATGCGGGAGGTTATTTTGGTTTAGAGAAATTTTAAATCCGTATTGCTTTGAAATATTCATGATTTCATATTACGTTTGGACTGTCGCCCAGGTATTAGAAAAAAAAGACACTATAATCACTTCATCGTCCACTTATTTTTTGACATTTTTGCGAGTTCTGTTATAGCACAGATAGTAATAAATTTTATAGATGGGTAACTCTCTACTTCCCCGCCAATCCTTGTTGTAGCAGCGCCTCTGTTGACGCGTTTCCGTACTATCACAACGAGTTTCACTAGTTGTGTACTTTAAAATCCATGTTATTTATTTTTTTTATTAAACATACAGGTTGTTCTGATTTATAGGTGAACAACAAAACACAGAAAAAATATAACTGTGTATTATAATTATAAAAATATCAAAATACTTTAGATTTATTACAATTATTGAAACTAATACCTGATTTTTGTTATACCTACCTAGTACAAACTTAACCTATGCCGAATCTAGTTAATATAAGATAGATAGTTTTTAAATAATTCCTGTTGTCTTATGCATTCAAACTTATAAAAGTAGTAGTCTACATTTCTGTACCTATATACAGAATTAGATATATATTATTTAATTATTTTATTTTCTCGCTAGCTTTATTTCAAATTAAATTTGTTTCTGATAGAATCATATTAATGGAGAATTTATTTTCAGGTACCCTTCAAAAGTATTTGTCGGTGATACCTTTTGTTACTTCTCTGGAATGACATTTGCCGTAGTAGGAATTCTTGGACATTTCAGTAAAACGTCTCTCTTATTTTTCATACCCCAAATTTTTAACTTCCTTTACTCCTCTCCGCAGTTATTCCACTTTATCCCCTGTCCTAGACATAGGTTACCTAAATTTAATTCCAAGACAGACAGATTAGAAATAAGCACAACAAATTTCGTTTATTCTGATCTTAGTTTCTTAGGAAAGCTAATTGTTAATGTGTTCAGAGTTTTTAGGTTAATCCAGTGGCAGGAAAAAGACGGTTACGTCATCACTAATAACTTCACCCTTATAAATTTAGTTTTGTTTTATTTAGGACCTTTGCACGAGGCTAAGTTAACAACCATACTGATAGCTGTGCAGGTTATTTGCACCTGTGTCGCCTTTGTTATAAGATATCCTTTGGCTTCGATTTTTTATGATGTATAGATTTCTAACGGTTTTTTCGTTGAATTAGATATTTCGTGTATATAGTTTTAACTGGAACTGATGTACCTATTTTTCTATATGGCTATTCCAAAGAGGTTATTAACTTTGTTACTGTAAAAAGCTTGTTGAAAATAAAACGGTACTTTCTCTAATTTTAACAATTTAATGTCACCTATCCTTAACTGCATTCTCACATTTTTCAATCGAGTTTTAAGGAAAGTCAGGATGATGTCCTGAAAAATCATTTTCGTGTTAGAAAGAGCAAGATTTTGTAATTAATCTCAAATAACGATAAACAATTTTATTTTTTTTTTTTAAGAAAAATCAACCGTTAAATTTTTGGATTATGCTGCGTTGTCTTATGTTTGGTGTAGTGGTAATGTGTTTTGGTGTTTTAGTGGGCACTAAAATTTTCGTTTTGCGGAAAATTGTGAAATAAAGCAAATATAGTTCCTAAATATTTTTTATTTTTTTTTATAAATAGTCAAATTTACATAAAATAAATTTCAAAATATTTAACAAAAAAATTTCAATAATTTTAACAACAAAATTGTAAAGAATACATCCTAATCTAAGTAAATCTACGAATATCACAAAGGAAATAATTATCATCACTAAATGACTATTATTAATTTATTAAATAAACCAAAAATTGGTTTATATTTCGCAGCAAAGACTAAACAAATCAAAATCTTCTATTTAATTAAAGCAGTCTTTGATTAATTTGTTTATTTATTAATACAAAAAATAATTCTGTTTTTATAGTATATTAGATCGACTCCAGATAAATTAAATATGGCTACAATGTTGAGTGATATTAGCTAACTGCTAGATAACGATGAACGATAGTTTATTATTTAGTTTAAACTGCATTCCTACTAAAAAAAAATTTAAAACAATGTGAAGACATAGGATCCCACGCATATTTTTTATTTACAATTCCTGTCACAACACTATCTTGAGTTTGGCAATGAAAATAATGCTCTTATCATCAGCTTCAGTGTGTGGTAAGAGTTTTGTCAAGGAACGTGTTAACGAGACAAAGTTCAGGAATTGGTTTAATTAATATACGCAACTTTTAGTTTATTTGTTCGTGTGCCGAGTGTTAAACAGAGAAAAATGCATATTGATTATAGTTACATTGAATCTGGTTTTATTCCTGTTAATGTAATAATATAATAAGTGAAAAAGATTGTACAGAAACAATTTTATTCGACAAGATATTCTGGGTCAATCTGCATTGGGAAGTCTTGATGCGATTAATATTTTATTTTTTATTTTAAACACACAGTAGCATAATAGCACATTTTTAATTGGACGTACTTATAATTTGCAGGACGTTAATTCATTATATTTAATTTTAATTCTGAAAGTAGTAAGTAGATACAGTATGCCATACTGAATTAATCAGTTGAGTTACATCCTCTGTACATGGAAGGTGATTATTACGTAAAACAAAATTATTTCGACGTAACTACGCCTAAGCGACTTTGATTTGTTTCGTTTCCCTTACTGCGCTTTCTACTATCACAAATTAATGTTTCCTGTCTTTAAGAAGCTTGGACAAGAAAGCAGATTCTTATCTTCAGGGTGTTCAGATTTGATCCGGATTATTATTTTATATACTGAGTGTTTTAATGCGTCTAAAGAATCGAGCGCCATATCACCGTCAGATGTCACTAGGCGGCTGCTGTGATTTTTTCGATGGATGTCCACAGCAGGCATAGAGGCATGAATTATGTATTACACTTGGTTTTGTAGAAGCATTGGCACCCTGTGTATATAAAAAATTATCATCGAAATCGCACGACATACTAAAATTTGGCAGTGGGGTCCCGGATCACGTCAGAATGCCCTGTATATCACAACCTCAGTAAAAATAATTCAAATTATTTAGCAATTTTTACTAAAGATGATAAGTACATTAGTACAGAACAATTAACATCCTCTTTGCGCCTTCTGTGTAGGTCAGAAGGGAAGAGAAAGATTAGTTGCCAGGCTACCATATTTTATGGCTATTATTTTATCTTATTCGTCTGTTCACTGGGTGTAATAACGACATTGCGTTAAATTTGTTCTTCGTGCAAACAAAAAATGAGAGTAACTACTGATTTCCATGATGGTTCAAGTTACTAAAGAGCCATGGAAGATAAAAATTTCAAATTTAATACAATCCAATTCCTTCCAAGTTAAGTGTTTTCATGTAAAATTTAACCGGAACTAAAATGTTTCAATGTTCACAGTTGTTCACTGTGACAAAACTATGACAAAACACTATGACAAAATTGTATATCAGTAGCTCGATCAGGAGCATTGATGAAAATTAGTATAATTTGCACAAATTCGCATTTATTTAAATGGAAGGTAGTCAGACGAATATATTTAACCTCTACAACCTCTAATTGTTGATAAATTATTGGTCTTTATCAGAGCGCCTAACTTTGCTATGGTTTTTGGACTTTAATCATGAACCGTTAATGCTATGAAAAAATTCAAGTTTTATTTTGAAATAGTGTATTTTCTTTTTGATAGTTGAAACCCCTTAGAAATCACTTGATTTTGAACTATTTTTATAAGAAGGTATTTACCAACCATTTTAAGAACGATCGTTATACACCTTTGTTTTTTTTTATTTATTTCGACAACATAAATCAACATGACAATTTGTCGTTGCAACGCTGCCTGTAACACCCCGTAATAACAGTAGTATTTAAAAGGACACTATATATATTTGAAATATACAGGGTGTCCCAGTCATAAGTAATAAAAAATTGTACAATTTAAAATAGTAACCCGTATACATCTATTGTCAAATTATTACAATTATCTACCTTTCCACTGTGATATCTGTAGTCAGGCGTTACAAAATTTATAAAATCAAACCCAACTAATCCGATTGTTACAAGGGGTCGTTTATTTATTTAAATTTCGTTTTCTCTTGAGTGATAGGAACAAAGTGAAATAAATATATAATTTATGAACAGTCGACTTTTTACAAGTACCACAAATTTTGAACACGAAGGGAATCTCTTTAACTGCGTGCTAGCGTTTCGATAAATTCGCTGATGATTCATCAAGTTGCACTGACTATCAGAAGTTTGTCCTTACTTTGATTGTAATAATAAATACGAACAAAAAAATAGAAATATCTCAAGGATCTGCTCTGACTGATTGCTCCGTAAATACGTCGTTAATATAACGATATCTCCTTGCCAATTATTTTATAATTCAGATATTAATTGGTTTGTACTGAGGTTGTGATCTCTTAGGTTATAGTATACACATTTTTTTTTGCTAAATTAAACAAGTTAATTATATTACGTTATCAATAAATTCAGCGGTGGTGGCGAAAAACGAGAAGGAAAGTTATCTCTGAACTGTATACAGGGTGTCCCGATTTAATCGATCACCCCGAATAACTTTGCGGGATGACCTCCAATTGAAAAACTTTCAGAACAGAAGTTGTAAGGTTTTAAAGGGGGCCCTATGATAATGTCCTTGGTGAAAAACAAAATCCAAAGTTAATTTTTAAATGACACCTAAATTTGACCCCAGGGCTCAGTTTGACCATAAATCATGACCACGATAGTTCGTACAGAAAAATTAATCAACCTTTGACATAAAATGTAAACATTTCAGTCGTAAAGCTGATTTGACCTTTATAGAGATCAATTTCATCATCTTTGAACGTAAAATTTCCTGCTTTCTCCATTTTCTCCATTTCTGGATAAAACAAATGGGGTTTCTATTTGACATTCTGAGATTGACCTCCAAATAACTCCTAAATTAGCGGTCATTATCAAGGTCATTATCGTACGGCCAACTTAAAACCTTACAACTTTCAATTGCAGGTCATTTTGCAGTGATTCGGGGTGATCGATTAAAATGAGACACCCTGTATATACTAGGTGATTGAAAGAATGAACTTTCTTCTCATTTTTGTCCAAAATACTTTTTTTCTTTATTTAAATTTACTATAATGTCTTTTAAGATAAGATTGACTTGGTAATGGAATTTGATCTAATAAAAGTCAATATTTTTCTGGTATTAGATATCGAAAAAACTAAATACATCATCAATTATTTGTCTCGTCCAATTCAATGGGCCTTTAATCGCAATTTTGGTCAACTTGCCTGAATCATCCCTTAATTTCTAACCATCCTAACTCCGTTAATTTTAATTGTACAAGAAAAAGTCAATAGACCATTTTTATGTAGAATTTTATGCTCTACAACTTTTTGTAAGAATTCTTATTCTAGCTCTCACCTCTTTTGAATTATCTTGAACCGCTTTATTTTATCTTTTTTCACCACTGGCCGGGGGTTGAAAAATAAAATACTGTCACTTATTGTTAATATACACCTCAAACTAACTTATATCTCAAAAATTCAGACAAGTTGTGCAAATTGCGATTTAAAGGCTCAATTAATTGCACTATTAACAAAGTATGTTTCAGGATTAATTTGCCGAATTTAAAATATGAAATCGGGCGGTAGAAATAAGAAAAACAAGTCCTATAAAGAAATACAGAGTATTGCAGTTTAAAAAGAAATAGCATTTTATCAGAATACGTATTACCGAATTTCAGCCCGAAAATGTCATTAACGTAGAAATCTTGCATTTTTTTGGAAGCAGCAGGGGTCATAGCCTGCAAAAGTGCAAAATTTCTAAGCTACTGATTATTTAGAACTTTTTATTAGAAAATTTTCATAATAAGAAGTCCATAAATTTTTTTGGGTATGAGTTAATAATGGAAGGTTTTTATGTCTTAGTAATATCAATAGAGCCATAGAATTTCTAAATTTCCTTGTATTTCCACCACTTATCGACTTGTTTGCATTTGAACTCAAGGAATTTTTATTTTTATTTAGTAAATCATTGTACGTAAATAATAAATCATTTTTTTTATTATTTCAATAATCAATACCTCGACAACAACAACCTGCCCCAATTCAAATTTTATATTCATCTAGTTAATCCTGTAACATTTAAATACATACTTAGTTTCATTAAAACGTTCAGTTCTTTGAACAATTACATTTCCAGTTCAAGTTCAACAAACTGCAGTGTTTTTCATTATATTTTGCACTCACACTTTTTAATATTTCTCCAGTTGCAAGACTCTACAAACCAGTTACAAACAGCTACACAGAAGCACTAATAAAAATATAATAATAGTATTGCACTGGAATACTCAAATTAGAAAAAATTGTGGGAACAATGAGAGCACTAGATATTTACAAATAGTAAAAAAATATCAAAAATGTTGAAAGCTGATCTCTCAGCATTTTTATTTTTGAAACTTGTCATCTTAGCCCAGTTACTGTAGCTGAAAATATAGTAATACCTCCGATTTTTTTATAACTGCATCGATTTTTCTCAAAAATTAGGATTAGGCTCATCTTACCCCCCACTTCAAAATTTATATATGCGCTAGGTGTGCTTTTTGTTCTTAACTGGTGAAAACCACCCCTTATTATAAAAAAATACAAATTTAAGCATTTTATATAATCAAATCTTTTTTATTTGTGCAATATGAGTAATTGCATGTGCTATCTAACATGAAACTTAATGTATCCCAAATTTTCAACCCAGAAAAACCTTTAAAAACCACCCCTTTGGATGAAAATAATATAAAAATTTTTTTTTCAATTTGAAACGTTTTAATCATGCATTTTTATCAAATTAAAACTGATTTCTTGATTAAAAAATCTTTTTTATCGATTGCAACTTTTCAACCCTTGAAAAATACCCCTTCTTTCGAAAATAAAATGAAAAAATATTATTGAAAGAGTAGAAACATTTTAAATGTGCATTCGTATTAAATAAACGTTTTTTCTCATTGATCTTTTTTAAGCCTTTTATTTTTAAGTTTGAAGGGTTTAAAGGTCTCGAAAAGGGCGGTTCTCTCATTCATATTATAACTTAAAATGGCGATATTTCGATTAATATTAATTTTAGAGGAAAAAAAAAATTAAGCAAAATCTTCACCAAAAATAAAACAACATTTTTTTACTCTTGTATTTTNAGGGTTTAAAGGTCTCGAAAAGGGCGGTTCTCTCATTCATATTATAACTTAAAATGGCGATATTTCGATTAATATTAATTTTAGAGGAATAAAAAAAGTAAGCAAAATCTTCACCAAAAATAAAACAAAATTTTTTTACTCTTGTATTTTTTCGTACTCCCTTTAATTTTTAAGTTACAGCGTAAAAATCGATTTTTTTTTCAAAAATTTGAAAAATTAACATTTTCAAAAATTAATTTTTTTTTCGAAATCATGCTTTGTAAGTGAGTCACAGACCCAGAACATATTCTTAGAACATAAATTAAGAAATCTGTAAATGGATTGCATTTAATTTTAATTCTGTCTCGAAAGACACTGATTTGTTTATTAATTTTTTCTTAAAAAAAACTGAGACTATCATGTTATTTCGATAATATTTCCGTTAATTTTGATTCTAAAGACTTTTAAAACATCTCATTTTAAAGGTTTTTCAAAGTAGGTACTTTAAAAAAGGTGCAAATAGTTTTTTCCTAATATTTATGGTTTTCGCGTTATTTAACGTTAACTGGTTCCAATTTAGTTTTTAGCTGACATATAATAATGTCTAAAAATCCATAACTCGGTTTATATTGCAATTAGAGAAAACTAAATAATGCCATTAGATTTGTTTTTATTACCTTTCGTTTTGTTCATTACAACTTTTTCGTTAAATCCAATGGTTTCAGAGTTATTTGCAAAAAACTGTCCAAAAACAAGCACTTTTTCAGTAAAAATCAACATTTTCAATGACGAATTACTCGCAAAGTATTGGATTATCCAAAAAACTTTATATAACACTTGTTACTTAAAATTGACTCCTCTATCGATTCATGTGGTATTTTGGGCGTAAAAATTTCCACCCCCCGAGAAGGGGTGGGAACCACCCCCAGGGCAAAAGCACACTACGGCACTATATAAGTATTGTTCCTTGAGGTATTCCCCACATTCACTCAAAATTTCACGTCAATCGGTTCAGTTATAAAGAATTCGGAAGTAAAAACCCTGAGTAACTGGACTATCTTTCATAAATTATTTAATGAAATAAATATTAGCTTGCTCGCTTCTGCTATTTTTTTTATTTGATGATGGTTACACATCAGATAGGCGACCAGTGATTTCATATTTCAGTTTATACCTCTTTCTTCATTAAGAACAGATTAAACAAAAAGATTGATGAGCACGCACCTTTACATTCCTAACAACAGTAAGCTTCTAGTTCAAGTGTAACAACCAATTTTCTCGGTGCGTGTAATTTAGGTCCAAAACCAATTTTGCCTTTATTGATAACATTCCTTAAGACATATGCTGTCTAACTTTTATGGACGGGTAACAGTTTCCTTAGCTTCTACAAGTTGAAACTTTTTTTTTATCATCAAAACAGTCTCAAACGTTGCCACTTAATTTAAGTGGGAAATTTCGTTTGTGTAATTTGAAAAATCGTCATTTCTGTCCTAAAAGCGGTATCCTAGCACATTAGTATACACTTTATCACAATTCTTCACCGCCTCCGCCTGTAGGGCGGGGCGCAGTACGCGGATAGTTCTTCGCGGGAGCAAGACTTCTCGCAGCATTCGTTGTACACGCCGTGGACTTGCCGGCGTCGCCGTCGGTAGTTGCTCATGACGGACGTTGCTTGCGACCGCGATTGGAAGGGGTAGGAATGGGTGTCGTGTGGTATACCCGAGGAGTACTGGGGGTCCCAATAGCTCTTCTTCTGGTAAACTGAAAAAAAAAAAAAAAATAGTTATTTATATGGGTTGTCGGGAAATTGACCAGCAATATTCTGCCAGCGCATTCTGCGAGTAAAAGTGAGAGTTTACATGTACAGAGGTCAAATATTTAACAGTGTAACAAATATTCGACCGCTGGGCGCAGGGGTATTCCGATCGGAATGATATCGGTGTAGCTGTGTAGGTTGGACTTCTCTGCATCGATTGGGTATTTCACGACTATGGGGTGTGATAATGAGGAGGAAAGTGGTGACCCTCTGTATTTTGGCTATTTTTATAAGACTCTGTTGATGTTTAAGTGTGCTATGTGTGAAAATAGTGTGAAACTAAGTTTTCCAATTCACATAAGGTAGAAGGTGAATTTGTTTTAGGGGCGGTAAATCAACATACGGTTTTCAAATTAAAAAAAAAACAGGAAAAAACAGGTAAAGTGTTGTTAAGTATATCGATAAGGGTGTAAAGTTGAGGTCGCTATAGTGTTTTCGGCGGTTTTCAGAGCTGTTTTGAAATTTGGAGGGTAAGTGGTGGAAATATATTGAGATGCTCCAATTAAGAAAATTAGTTTTTAATGTTTGTGTATGTAATATGTAATGTTGAGCGTCAGTGGAAATATTATAAATTTTGAATATTATTTTTAGAAAATATATTTTTTATTACTTACCAGGCTAGCTTTTTATTTATCACTCAATTTGATTTTGAAATATAAATTGTAAATTAAAAATTTTTTTTCAAGTATTCTTGATTTAAAGTGGGATTCTATTTCACGTTTGATAATTTTAATGACAATTAGATGACCTATGTCAATTTTGTATAAATAATAGACATCAAATTTAATAGAACATGAGGTCTTAGCCAGTAGCCGGTTCACAAAATAGGTTTTACTTGTAATTAACTTTGTTAAAAAAATTAAATAATATTGTTGTAATCTGTGTTTAATTTTTTATATTGACATATTAAATTATAAATTTATAATCTTTTTTTAAGAATCTCCTTATTTATCCTGCGATAACTTATTTCTACTCTACAAACTAACATTTACTTATTACCTATACATACATATCGACCGTCCTTTCTTTTAATGTCCACAATTTCTTAAGTAGTAATTTTCTTTCTGCTATTTCTCTCCTGTCTTCTTCCTTCTTTTCGTCCACTCACTCTCTCATTTTGTCAATTTGTTCTTTTCTCTGTCTTGTATCGCTCTGCTGGCTGCAATTGCCTGACTCGCCTTAATAGCTCCTACTCCTTTATTCCTAGCTACGACAATTCAAATAATAATACTAATATGACTATTTGATTTTTACCCTTTAGTTATCTGTCAAACTTCGTGTACACTCTTATTCTTTCTTCAAACACAATTTTTCTGTAATTTTAATTTTCTCTGTTGTTATCTTTTTTCCTTTATAGTTTCCTGTACGATAAACAACAATTTTATATTCTCCTTACTCCTTAAGTAAATTTTCTTTATTTTTCTCAACAACTGATTTTCACTATCAGCTTCGTGTTCTTTTCCTTTCGTCTTCTTTAATTTATTCAACTTTTTCTTATGCAATCTTCTTTTTCTGTTTTGACAATTATATCTCTTTTCTCCTGTCTTATTTATTTATTTAACTTTTCCTTATACAATCTTCTTTTTCTGTTTTACCACTGCACTGCATTAATTACTTTTTAATTTTACATTTCCAATTTAACCTTTGCAATACTACTTAATCCTTATTTTGCTATATACCCTTATTTTATGACCACTTTTATTAATTTAGATTGATATTTCATCAAAATTTATATTTTACTTTAAATTGTCATTTTGCATCTAATTGTCATCTTAATTTCAAATCTATTACTTAAATCTTACATTGTCATTCTTTGACATTAATCTGTTTTCATTCTAATACTGAAAATTAAACTTTTGATTCATCTCAATGTACAGGGTGATATATTTAATCGTTTTCGAGCTACAAGGGGATTCTTAATTTTCGGCCAAATTGACATATCTCTGTATAGAAATTTTTTGATATTTAAAAATTATTTACATGAACCGAAAATGTCTGTTCTTTGTATTAAGTAGTGAAAAACAGAAGTGCCGATTATTTACAAATTTTGAATTTGGAGGATATAACAGTAAGTTATGATCGGTTGTCCCACCGCGAACTGCTGCGATCGATATGAGTTGCAAAAGTTTTACTGAAAATGATTGCCCTTCTCAATATAATTCTTTCTTTAATTTCGATGTAAGTAATCACCAATTGCCGCAACATCGCCGTAATATCTACATCACGTTTTCATCGTCTCGTGAGTTGCTCAGGACTTATATTAGTGAATTCAACCGAAAATGACGTCAATTCTATAACACTTACCCTCCTGTTTTTTGTATAAGGAATTGTAGTTGCCCTTACAGATAGCTGACAATGCCGCCGAAAGATGGCTTCCGCAGTATTTTTTCGTCCTGAAGGAATCCGCCGGATCACTCTGGCCATCTGTGAGTCCCAACAGAATGGTAGCAATGAACAAGCTGTGCACGAATTCCATCTGAAACGAAAATTAGTGGGTATAATACGAGGAGATATATTCCTCTTTTGGTAACAAAGTAACTGGTTGTTACCAACAAGAAATTAAAAATATAATTGTTTACGATAGCCAGCAAATTTATAGTTGAATTAGAGTAAAATAAAAATCGGTTGGTATTGTTGCATACGTACTGGGGAGGGTTTTTATAATGGTAGGTAGAAAAAATAATAATAAGCAATTCCAATCCTCGTTGGTACTTAAAATTAATGATGGAAATTTAATCGTTACTTATGTAGAACCTCTGGTATCATCCGCGACTTGCATACTACATAAAAAGAAGCCAACAGTTGTGAATGTAAATGGTGTGTCGTCAGTTTTTCATGCCCTGCGATTGCCTGACATTTAATATGTGCACCATTTTACCAGACAGAGATGAGTCCGTAAAAATTGTTTACATTTGGCTTCAACTGACCCTTATTATCTCAGCTCGTGTATTAATATCCGTACTTTATTTTCATATTCGCTCTACTCTTATCAGCAGATACGATTACGTTCCAAGTCGAAAATTACAGCACTATAAATGTACCTCTAGTATTTATTGGTATAAATATTGTACGAGCTGGAATAACGACCTCTTTGTAGATTAGACAAAGTACTCGATCTCTTTAATGACAACAACAACAAGAACACAGTGACAGGGCGGTGATATGAGCGTTTGAATTTCACGAATAAGATCGAAATGCATCAGAATGTTATGAGTGTTATGTGGGTCACTTTAGTGGAACCAGGGAGCTGCTCTAAAATGTTTTTTGAGACAAACAATGGGAATAATTGTTTTTTAAATACAGTTTCAAATGCAAATTTAAGCCATAAGAAAATAATCATGCATTATAAATCGATGATGTGGTTTTTTAAATTATTGTATTGAATAAAACGCAAATATTATCCAAAGGCAAGTAAAATTGATGATGCATTTAAAATTTTACTCTATATTGGCATACATTTTTTTTCAGTTGACAAAAATGTCTTACTTTCTATTCTGCTCTACCTTCCATCAAAGTTTGGCTTATGCAATTCAGGACAATCGTATAAGGAAAACATTTCGCTTCTACAAATACGTTTAGTAGACTCAACAATGTTAGAGATTATTTTCTTTATTTAAGAAATTAGAAGGATTTTTTTCAATTTGGTTGACTTCCTCATTGATGTCAGAGCACTTCCTAGTCGTCATTCGTATAATCTTTTATTTGAGAATTAACTGGAGATCTTGAAATGAACACCTTTCCTAAAGATTGTGAGCTGGTGCTGAAAATATATTAATTGTTGCCAATGCTTTAATCCCAAGACTTGTAATAATCAAATGACTATATTTTTTTGCGTCTTTTGCAGTTAGGTTTGCTAATCTGCTTCAACTAACGTCACAAGAAATTGAGTGAATTCAATTCTGTGTCAAGATCCTTTTTTGTTATTACACCATGGCATTTGCAAGTTTGATTTATGTCAAAATATGTAAATAAGTTATAAATAATGTTTTATGGACAATATTATACATTTTATTTAATCAGTCTAGGTCAATTCTAATTCTTTAGGCCTAAATTTAATGTTTGTTTAACCAAAAGTTCGTTGCGTATTATTTGATATGTTATAAAAGTTTAATTATTCGCAATTGGTTAATAATATGATTAAATTTTCATTTATACTCGTATTGATCGTAGTTTTATGTTAATATTAAAACGTTTTAGAAACATTCACATCGAAAAATTATTCTAAGAAAAACAGGGTGATTTACAAATTTTGACCAAAATTGAAACCTCGTATTCTTTGGTGAATTTTAACGGGTTAGTTTTAACGGTAGTTTTAACGGTTAAAACGAGTTTTAACGGGTATAAAGTTTTTATCTAGGACGCTTCGTTAAAAAGATACAGGGTGTTAAACTTACAAAAAATGTTGTTAATTTTTTTAAATAATTTAAAAACTAGTAAGTGAAATAATTTGAAATTAAGCACATGTATTTATGTAAACATTGTGCAAAGTTTATGGTTTACTCGATAATCAGGCTATTTTCGAAAAACATAAAAGAGTAGTAATTGTTACCGTAAAGCAGTGGCGTAATATTTTATTTAGAAAAATATGACACCGATACCCTGTATCTCCGTCACTGGAACATCTAAATTTTAGAAAAAGGCCCCAGATTTTGGACAATATATATTTATATATGTATATGTAAATATTTCAAATTATGTCACTTAGGTAGTTTTTAAATTATCTAAAAAAATTAAAAATATTTCTTTAAGTTTAATACCCAGTATCTTTTTAACGAAGCGTCCTAGATAAAAACTTTCTAGGAAAAACTCCCTTTAAAATTCACCAAAGAATACGAGATTTCATTTCTGGTCACCGTTTGTGCATCACCCTGTATAATACTTACTATCTCCTTCCCTTTTTTTATTACTAATAGTAAGTGTAGTAAATACTTTTTTTTAAATTTTTATGTCAAATTTATACTATAATAAATCCTTATGTACAATCTACTATTACATCTTCAAGCAGTTATCTCGTAAGCAGCGAATAAGAAAATATTTTTTGGACGGCTTTAGTTAAATTTGAAATTGCTCGGAAGAAAAAAAATTACAATCGAAAATTATACAATCTTATGCCATGCATATGTTTCTGGACAATAAAAAAAATAAAGGTTATTTATATATTATTATATTAAACGATATCAAATATAATGTAATAACGTCAACTGATATTTTACAATCTAAAGAAATCTATATTCCAATACCCTGTATCTTGAATACGATTTTTTTTTTGTTTTGTAAGATATTTTGTTATTAAATTTTAGCCAATTATTTTAGTCACATCCTGTGCATTAATTTACGTTTTTTTTAAACTATTACAAATTCTTATCTTGGATTTAACATTAGCGCCACATTTAGATTTTTAAGCCCTAAATTTTGTTTCGAATTCGTGATATCACGATATACACTTACAAGAAAATCCAACACTGACATTCAAGTTATACAGGGTGTTTTTAAATGGTCTGTACAACGCTGCACCAGATATAGTACGCCTCAAATTAAGTCGATTTAACTAAACTTAGTCCAAAAATTGATATCTAATAGCGTGTCAAAGTTGAAAAATAAATTACATTTTTTTAACAAATTACTTATTCTGGGTTTTTAGTGATTGGAAATTCGAATTTATCGACGATTTCGTTGTATCTTCTAGAGGGCGCCACAAGCGACCATCAGCGCGCATTTGAACTGCCAAAACTTCTTTTCCCCCAATTTTCTGCTTAGAAAAGGTATACCTACCTTGTTAATATCTCTAAAGCCCACAGTTTTCAACAAAAAGGCATTTAAATTTGTAAACGCATAAAAAAATGTTTAAAAGTTATTTTCAACTCCACTGATAAACGAAATTAGGAGCAATCGTTCAGTAAGAAATAGGTATGACTTTAAAGGAAACATTCAGTGCAATTACAATTTTAAATCTCGTTTATTTAACAATTTTACTGTAAACAGAATTGACANTTTTTTAAACTATCACATATTCTTATCTTGGATTTAACATTAGCGCCACATTTAGATTTTTAAGCCCTAAATTTTGTTTCGAATTCGTGATATCAGATCACGATATACACTTATAAGAAAATCCAACACTGTTTGACATTCAAGTTATACAAGGTGTTTTTAAAGGGTCTGTACAACGCTGCACCAGATATAGTACGCCTCAAAATAAGTCGATTTAACTAAACTTAGTGCAAAAATTGATATCTAATAGCGTGTCAAAGTTGAAAAAATAAATTACATTTTTTTAACAAATTACTTATTCTGGGTTTTTAGTGATTGGAAATTCAAATTTATCGACGATTTCGTTGTATCTTCTAGAGGGCGCTACAAGCGACCATCAGGGCGCATTTGAACTGCCAAAACTTCTTTTCCCCCAATTTTCTGCTTAGAAAAGGTATACCTACATTGTTAATATCTCTAAAGCCCACAATTTTCACCAAAAAGGCATTTAAATTTGTAAACGCATAAAAAATGTTTGAAAGTTATTTTCAACTCCACTGATAAACGAAATTAGGAGCAATCGTTCAGTAAGAAATAGGTATGACTTTAAAGGAAACATTCAGTGCAATTACAATTTTAAATCTCGTTTATTTAACAATTTTACTGTAAACAGAATTGACAGAGAAAAAACATACTTTCTAAAAACAATATAATCAATCTAATACAATCTAAACAATGTAACCAATCTAACTATCTAAAAATCTAAAAAATAACTAATTATTATTCTGAGTTTAGTTAAATCGACTTATTTTGAGTCGTACTATATCTGGTGGAACTTTGTGCAGACATTATATGAAATTAAAGAGTAAAACGAAAGTCGCAGACGTCCTCGCAGTACTTTTTGGTATTTTTTTTTTTCTGAAGCGATTATAAAATCGTAAAACCTTTTTCTAAACGGGTAGTAAGTACAGTTAATTGATTTTCTTTATAATCTTTATTCGCCTTTAATTTTCCAAGGAAGTACCCGGTGGGGTGATATGCAATCTACCTTAGAATTTTCTGCGAGGTATCACTAGCGCTGCCGCCAAAACAAAAATTCCTGCTACACATTCGTTTCGTCGCAACAACATAAGTAGACATCACAACGCGCACCGCCAAATACTTGTTTTAAAGTCGTCGGAACTTTATTACGGGAGTCACTGGCATCATATGAACCGCACTTTGCAAAACTTGTCCGGATACTGAGCTGTGTCGGCGCCAAGACTGCAGTTCGCTCTTCTGCAAAGTGTGTCGTAAGTGCCGATGCCGTCGCGGGCGAAGGTGGACGCTGTCACTATCGTTTTTAGCAAATTTTGAGATCTTCGTCAATAGAGGGTAGTTTTATATGAGCTTTGTTTTAGTTTTTTTTTCCTAGAGAAGGTGTCCCATAATAAGTATGCCGAACTTCATCCTTATATGTCACTTCCAAAAATAAGAAAAAAGGCGCGAAAATCCTTCGTAAGTGAGCTACATCCCTTTGAAATTGCGGTCTCATAGTCCGGTCAAAATAGACATTTCAAATACCGAAAATTCCGACAGAGCTAAATTTTGGTGGAGACCTTGGGTACACCATTAGAAATAAAGTGTCAAAAGTCCTCATCGATCCCATGTGTGCTAAAAAAGTTATTCGGAGCCAAAGGTCAAAATTTGAGGTTTTTTGGATTTTTTTCGAAAACGGTAAGTTTTTTCAAAAAAGTAGCCCAGACTAAAATTATAGATCTTAAAATTATCTACAAAAATGGTCCTTATACTTTTTTTTTAAGAATCATCATTCTTGAGATATTGCGATTCCAATAGTTGAAGGAGTCACGTTCTACATGATATGCGTGCACACATTTCCACACCACCTGTGAGGTAGTGTACTTTGACGCGTTTTTTTTACGTGGTTACGACGGAATTTTCAAGGGCAATACTCTTTTAACTGCATAATGATTATTGATATTGATATTGGTTATTGACTTTAACTGTAGTTCTGATTTCTTTTGATATTTTAATCTGATCTCTTCAAAGTAGACTTCAACAGTAATCTCTTCTTCGATTTCTTCTTCTTCTTCTTCCTCTTCTTGCTGGATGTTCATAAATTGTTCAAATGAAGATGAATCAGCTGTCTCTTCATCGAAATCACATGAATATTCGTCTGTTGTATTCAATTGGATATTTGAGCAAGACTGGCTTTGGCAATTAGTACACGTTGGAGAACACAGTAACCCTACTTTTCTACAGCCATATTTAGCATTACAACCTTTTTTGCAATTGCAAAAAATAGTGTTTAGGAGTTTTTCAAAAGCAGGTGGAAATAAAGTTTGAATCGGTTCCAAAGTATTATCTGTTAATTTCCAACCCCAGTCTTCTGGGTTCAGTTGATTGCCTAGCCATGCCTGAACTTGATAGTATACTCGATACAAGTGTTGATTAGCAGAAACCGATGTTGGAGGAAGACAAGATGTACAACGTGACTCCTTCAACTATTAGAATCGCGATATCTCGAGAATGGTGGTTCTTAAAAAAAAAGTATAAGGACCATTTTTGTAGATAATTTTAAGATCTATAATTTTTGTATGGACTATTTTTTAATAAAACCGTTTTCGAAAAAAATCCAAAAAACCTCAAATTTTGACTTTTGATCCCGAATAACTTTTTTAGCACACATGGGATCGATGGGGACTTTTGATACTTTATTTCTAATGGTGTACCCAAGGTTTCCACCAAAATTTAGCTCTGTCGGAATTTTCGTTACTTGATCACTATTTTTATGACTAATTTGACCGGACTACCAGGAAACTCTGAAACTTGCAGAAAACACTAAAGACTTATAATAGTCTTGTATTTGAGTATGGCTTGATATAACAAACATTTATTTTGACTACATTGGAAGGAGATAAAGAATAAGAGATTTCAGTTTTTTAGAATCCTTAACAAACCATATTTCGGTAGGTTTCGTAGAAAGAATTAAATATTTAGCCGATAATTGATAATAAATAATTTACTTAATTTAGTACCACAACAAACACTAAAAATCAAAATAACTCGGAAACGCACAGGAATTTCATTTCAATTTCATTGGCGTAGAAGTTCTGTTTAAGAAAGGGGTTGAGCACCTCCTCCACTCCGCCACTGTGCAAGTTTTTGAACATTTTTATAGCTAGTTTTATGCCGCTTAATTAATAGGCCTTATCTCCCAAACATGAAAAAAATCTAAGCATTCGTTTATAAGTTATAATGAATATTCGAGAAAAAAAGTTATATTCAACACCTCGTATCTCGGAAACGAAGCCTTCTACGACATATGTTTATGAACTTTTCTATTTAAAAACATGTGTTCTATCTCCTGTTAAAGTTTGTCTACAAAAAACTGACTCACCCTGTATATACGGAGAAAGGGAGATATACATACACCTATCCTGCACTTACCTATATTCAGCACCCGTGCTATGAAATCGTTAGCTTCAAAGCTCTATATCTTTAAACCTACACATAGGATCGCTTTGGGCCCATGACAACTTTTGCTCAGGAAGGTGAGAACTATATCATATTTCAATTTCAGCCATTTTGACCAAAAGCCATTTTCCATAATGTCTGTGTGGGGTCCTTTAGCTTTTATCTGTTATTTAATTTTTACTCAGCTATTTTAATTTCGATATTTATCTACCCTGTAATTGGCTGTCTGTTAGGCAATAAAGTAAATAATAAACAAATAATTAATTATCGAAAAAACATTTACATAAAACTGTTTGTGAATTAGTCTTAAGTGCGCCAAAATACCAAGAAAATCTATAATTTAATTACTTGATTCAAACACGTCTCAGTCACATGTAACTGATATTTCTGGAGATGATATTTGTTTTTTCAGTCACTTAGTGGTACTATTGTGTTCGTCGCTGTTGCATTTTTCGACCTCTTTTTATCGTATCTTCGAAGAGAAACTTTCAAATACAATAATGAGGTTTTCTCGAAACCAGTAACATCAACTTCGCTATCAGACAAATTGTTTGAGTACAATGGAATGAATTTTTATCAGTTTCCTCGACGATTCCTATTTTTGTTTAGAGGAGCGTGGATGCAATTTAAGTTTTATTGAACTGGGAATGTTACGTAAACCGTTGAAATTTATTGCCAGTGTCACACTTGCCCGCCGAAAAAAATTGTAAACAATCCCTCCTTATCGCGAATTTAAAAATATCCGCGCACTAATGTTCTAAATATTTATTTAAAATATATATAAACTAAGGAACTATATTTAAGTATTTAGTCAGAGTTCAAAATTACTGATAAGTAAGGATAAGATATTGTGGGTTATCTGCATTGATTATGAATAAATTTTCTGAACACGGATTCGGTCGGAGCCTTATGTATAATTTGAATAGTCACTCCCACTTCTAAACAGATTCAGATTATGAAACGTCTTCACTATAGCCATCCTTGTCTATCGTACGGATTTCTTTATTTTACTTTGTCGTTCTCATGTAAAGGCAGATGGACCATGTGGTTTTTCCAGCCCTGTGTACTTATGACAGAAGACCTTCAGCGTCATTGTCACATCAATGGTAGGATACGCCTCAGCATACTTGAAACGATTTCTGTTGTTTTAGACACATCTGATACCATTTTACTAAATTTAAGTGGGTAATACTATTACTAAAATTCGTAAGCATAGCAATTTTTAATACTCGTAGATACCATCTTATTATTTCAGAAATAGATTGTTGAGTTTTTTTAATGTCGAAGCAAGTAAATATTGGACAAGCTGATGAGTGATGATGATGATGATTCGCATTCGATGTTACGCTTTGAAAGATTTTACTGTATGTGTACGTGTAACCGGAAATTTCAATATTAAAGTTATTTTGGATTACACTATTCGGAGATCTATTTCTGTCTCGAGACCATAGTACTTTACATAGTTTTTCCGCTCAAATGTAGTATCAGCGATTTGGTAATAATTATAGATTTGCCAGTACTATTTTGCCCAATTTGGTTAGCTTTAATTGGAGTTTAAATGTGTCTCGATCTCCCAGAATCTCAGGACTATTTCGCTCTACATTGGCTATTTGGTAATGGTTAAAAAACCATTAGGTTCTTATAGCTATAATTGGACGGTTGAACTTCGGGTCAAATAAAAAATAACTTATTTAACTTTCGTTACATTACTTGGAACCACATGCATTCGTATTAATAGCTTTTTAACGAAATGTTTAGGATTGGAAAAATCTTCGCTTTTAGTAATTTTTTAATGCGTTTGCAATATTTGGGAAATTACCGACAAAAAATGTTGAGTGGGTGTTTTGGATATTGTCAGAGTATACGTCAATTTACCAATTTGTATCCTTAAAAAAATGCATGTTTCTGATCAAACATTAGGGATATCCCCCACCCTTTCTGTCGACAGATAGAACAAAATGTCAGTAATAAATGTTATGCGCAATCCATATTTGTACTATTTCATATACCTGAATAGGAAATATTTCTGAGAAAAACTCAACTCTATGTTTTGGTATGTAGATTGCGCCCCCTAGCGGCCGAGCTACGAACTTGAAAACTATTTCCTTGGTAGATTTATTGATCAAAATTTTTTTCCCGAAGTTCTAGGGCCTAAACTTTCTCTAATATCGTACCTCGCAGACCTTAATGGGACACCCTGTATATAGGGAAATTTATACTGATTCAAATGAAAATTAAAATTATAATAAATATGATTAAAAAAATGGGGTACTTTGCCTTGCGTTTAAAATGCCACTTGTTTTCTTGGTTTGAGTCGATAGATCACACTTTAGCATTTGCCATAGAAAAATTAAATTATTTAATGAGGGCTGGTGTTGAAGTATGCATTTTTATAATTTGTTTTTGTATGAGTTGGCAGAGTAAACAAAAATATAAAGGTCATATTTTCAATAGTTCGTTTTAAATTAGCTTCACAGTGGTAGAAACAAAAATGGCCATAACCATTTACATATTTTTATGAGGCTTACGATTCCAGAAGTTGTCAATAAGTTTTAATAATTTTAATTATTACCAATTTTTATCACCATTTTGCAGTTTCAGCTGTTTTAATATTATTAATTTTTATTAAAACAATTTTAGATGAATTTATTTACGGATATCCGAGAATTTTTGCCTAAAGGGGCACATCCACGCGCAATCCGAACCTGGTGAGGTTAAATTTAATGACTAACTCCTAAATAAATT